GGGACAGAGTCTCTGGGGGATCTCCAAGGCAGATCAAACAGTGTTAGCCACGTTAATGGAGTCTCAGAGATGGGACCAGCCTGCTGGCTCTGTGGCTCTGTGGCTCTGTGGCTCTGTGGGGGAATGGCTCAAAAAAGGGATAATGGCTGCTGTTCATCCTGATGCCAGACACTTCAGTCTCTCCCAGTATGCTGTTGGTGCCCTTCAAGCTGCCATCCCAGTGCTGGAAGTCAGAGGCAGTGAGTCTGAGTAGGTGAGTCCACATGTGGCTTCTTTAAGAGGACCTTCGTGGGGCTCCAGAAGTTTCTTCCACTGACTCAATCTCTGCTGGGTTTTGCAGGCAGAAGTTTGGTGACTATTCTTCCTGGCACTGGAACCCAGGGCTGGGGGGACTTATGTGTGGCTGGGCCTCCTGACTCCAAAGATACCCTCCCAAATTTTTATCTGCCACACGTGGGTGAGAGACGTGCCCGTTCCACCTCTGCACCCATCCTACCTGTCTGGACGGGTGTGGTTTCTTTAATTCCATAGTTGTCAGACTTCCATTCAACTTGGTTTCTGACAGTTCTGAGTGATGGTTCTATATTTTAGCTGAAAATTTTGATGTGGTTGTGCGTAGAAGTGAGCCATGTCTGCCTACACCTCCATCTTGACCCTAAGCCCCATCTACCCACTTTTAAATCAAACTTTATCTTTGGCCAATTAAAAGTATAGCTGCCTAATTCAAAGGAATGAAATTGGAATCTTACCTCATACCATATATAAAAATGAACTCAAAATGACTCAAAGACCTAAATATAACAGTTAAAACTATAAAACTCTTAGAAGAAAATTTAGGGGTAAATCTGAATGACCTTGGTTTTAGCAAGGAATTCTTAGATGTGATATATAAATGTGTGTGACAACAGCAACAAACATAGATAAATTTGACTACATCAAAAATAAAAACTAATATGCTTCAAAACTGAAAAGACAGCCCACAAATTAAGAGAAAATACTTAAATATCATATATCTAATAAGGAACTTATAAAGCACTCTTACAATTCAATAATAAAAAAGACAGCCCAGTTTAAAAATGGGCAAAGGGTTTTTTAATTGACATTTCTCCAAAGAAGATGTACAAGTGGCCAAGAAGCACATGAAAAGATACTCAGCATCATTAGTTGTGAATCTTGTAAACACTGTGCTAAGTGAAAGAAACCAATCACAAAAAGCCATTTATTATGTGAAATGTCCAGAATGGGCAAATCTGTAGAGAGACACAGAGTAGTTAGTTGTTGCGTAGGGCTGTAGGGGTGGGGAGAAGAGATAAAAGGGTGACAGCTAGAGAGTATAGTTGTTTGTTATTTTTTAATAAAGTAAAAAATTACCGTGGTAAAATACACATAAATTTTACCATTTTAATAATTTTTAAATGAAGAATTGGGAGTTTCTTTTTTAGGCTAAGTTCTAAAATTGAATGTAGTGATAGTTACATATATCTATTAATATACTAAAAGCTACTGAATTGTACACATTAAACTGGGTTTATAATATGTAAATTATATTTCAATAAAGCTATTACGAAAGAAAAGAATATAGCTGTTTCAACCTATCGATTAAAGTCAGGAGGCCCCTTTTCCTCCCTTGCTGCTTCAAGATCAGCCACCGTCAGGAACAACACACATAGTAACTATATGTGGACCAGGAAGTTCATGACCAACAGACTACTTCAGTGGAAACAAATGGCACTGACATCTTTCACCCTGGGAAAGGCAACATCTAAAACAGATATTCAGGAAAAAGTAGACAAAATGTATAAGACCACACCAGATGTCATTTTTGTGTTTAGATTCAGAATCCATTTTGGTGGTGGTAAGACAACCAGTTTTGGCATGTTTTGTGATCCCTTGGACTACACAAACAAAAAGACATGGTCTATATGAGACGAAGAAGAAGATCTCAGGAAAACAGATAGGAATACAAGAACAGAATGAAGAAAGGGGAACTGCAAAGGCCAATGTTGGTGCTGGGAAAAAAATGTGAGCTAAAGATTGGACAACAATGGGAGTAAAGATTATTAGTGACTTTATCTGTGGTGATTGTGCAGATTTTTCATGAGAGGATTAAGAACTGTTTTTTAAAAATCAAGGGGCTCACAGATAGATAACCAGAGAACATTTTGGAAAAATAAATTCATATTCAAGCAGGACTTACATAGATAGATCCACTTAATCCTTTATAATTAGTAGTACAAGTTTCCGTTAACCAATCCACTAGTAATTAAAATTGGAATGTTGTTAGTTCCCAGGATTCACTTAACAGAGTATCTTCTTTTTTTTTTTTTTTTAAAGGAACTCTACTTAGGTATAATTTATATATGTGCTGTCTTCAAAACACGTTTTTTAAGGTATAAATTACTGTAATTACCCCAATTTTAAGTGTACGTTTTATTTTTTTTTTAGTAAACATAAGTTTTGTAGCCATCACCATAATCTAATTTTGGAACATTTATCTTTGAGAATTTATTGAAGTCTGGACTGAAGATGAGTTTTTCCACAGATAATTTAAGATGGTTCTCACCCTTTTCCTGAACTTATTTTAGATATTTTGCAGCTATTCTCTTATGCCTTCTTAATGTATATAATTTTTTTAAACACATAATGAGAGTTTTGCTCTTCTTTTCCAAAGAGTTAACTATTGTGTTAATAATACATTTTTATAACTTTTTAAAGAATTTTCACAACAGTTCCACAACAGTTGTAAATAATAATTTTGATATTTTAGCAGTCTTGCCTTAATCATGATTGGCAGGTGTTTATATTAGGCATGATTTACCATATTAAGGAATTACGCTTTTTTTATTTTATTTCATTGATTGATTGATTTGTGAGAGAGAGAAAAAAACATTGCTTTGCTTTTCCATTTATTTATGCATTCATTAGTTGTTTCTTGTATGTGCTCTGTCCAGGGGTGGAACCTGCAACCCTGATGTATTGGGATGACCCTAACCAACTGAGGTAGTTGGCCAGGGCAGAATTACATTTCTAATTTAAGCTTCCTAAGAGTTTGGCCTTCCCTGCAAATAACATTTAGAGTTGGGATCTTCCTGCATTTTGGAGTGTGTGTGTGTGTGTGTGTGTGTGTGTGTGTGTATGTATGTATATATGTATGAAATATGCAAGGTCTGTTCAGAAAAAGTGTAGCCATTGTTAATACGAGAATGATTTGCCACAACATCAGTGTAACCTGGCAGCCAAGGAGAGTGGACTGGAATGTGCATGTGTGGTCTGTGATTTCACTTATTTCACAGTGGAGGCAGTAGATGCCTTTCATTGAGCATGTGTACTGTGTGGCCATCACATTCAAAATGAACAAGTGGAACAATGAATCTGCATCAAATTTTGCATTAAGTTTGAAACATCCTTCTCAGAAACTATTTGGATGATTCAGAAGGCTTTTAGGGATGATGCAATAAGTGCGGTGCAAATGAAAGTGGCATATATGCTTCAAAGACGATCAAAAATCTGTTGAAAGTGATCCATGTTCTGGAAGGCCTGAAACAACCAGCAGAACACCTGAGAATGTTGAACATGTATGGGCTGCAATCAACAAAGATTGACGACTGACAGTGTAAGAACTAGAAACTGATCTGGGCATTACAAAAACTACTGTGCCTGAGATTTTGACTCAGGATCTTGGCATGAAATGCATCATGGCAAAATTCATTCCGCAGCTTCTACCTGAGCAGAAAGAACATCGTGCTGCAGTTGGGAAAACTGTGTGAGGTCCCTGGGTGCCTACTTTGAAGTGGACTGAGACATCCTTGTTCCGTGTACAATGCTTCTTGTACCGTACATCTTCTTCAATGAATGTCTTTATTTTTCATATTACATGGCTGGGTGCTTTCTGGATAGGCCATACACACACACACACACACACATACATACATACATACATACATACATACATACTGTCCAGAAAAATGCTGGCGATACACACACACAAGTGCATGCATGCACACACTCACACACACACATTATCTCCCCAGCATTTTTGTGTACATGTATATCACTATATACACTCCTTTGACTTTTTAAGAAATGTGTTAAATTATTAAATGTTTTCTTAGTATCAAAATCTTTTGCATTTCTGTAATTATAGTTTTACTGTTTTATCAAATGAACCTTTCCTTTAATGCCCTGAAATAGTGGTTTTAAAATTTTATTTAGAATTTCTTATGCATATTTAAAAATGAAATTGGTACCTAATTTTCTATTTTGTGCTGTTTAGTGAAGTTTTAGTTACTGGGTCATACTGGCTTTACAAAATTAATGGCATAACACTGGCCGGGTGGTTTTGTTGGTGGAGCTTCACACCAGAACAGTAGAGTTTCAGATTTAATCCCCTGTGGGGCCACATGAAGGAGTGAACCAGTGAATGCATGACTAGCTGGAACAGAAGGTTGATGTTTTTCTCTCTAAATTCAATATTAAAATTTTTTTTTAATTTAATGGCATAGCTTTCTTTTTTCCCCTCTGATGTCTTGGAAAGTTTCCCCAGTAAAACTATTTTTGACTCAAAACTACTTTAAATCTAACTCATTGGTATTCTTTTCAGTTTGCTGCTGTTGTTTGTTTTGCTCACATTTTCTTCTCTAGATCAGTTGTAGTAATTTATTCTTTCCTAGAAAATTGTTCATTTCATAGAGATTTTAAAATTTATTAGCATGGACTTGTATATACTAGTCTTGCTTTGTCTTTTTGTTTATAGTACTATTTACATTTCTATATTTTTCCTCTTACTAGATCGCTTAAAAGATAAACCTGTTTTTTTCCTTTACAAAGTACCATCTAATTTGGATAATTTGATGAATTTAATTATAGTTACAATTTTTCAAAGTTCTTTAAAAAAACGTGTTTATGTCCTTTTTGACATGGTAGCTTATAAATCCTTTTATTCTCAGAGAAATCATTACCCAGATTTAATCTGTTAATTTTTACAATGTTTGTTTTGTTAGGCACGAGATGTGCGTACCAATGAAGTCGTGGCTATCAAGAAAATGTCTTACAGTGGAAAGCAGTCTACTGAGGTAGGTTGTGAAATATATACATTCTTACTGGTATGTTGGAGAAAGACATAGTGTTTTTAATTGTGGGTAGGTAGAAATTTTTTCTGAGAACTATACATAAAGAATAGTGTACAAGTATTAAGTGTGTATCTCAGTGAATTTTCTTCACATACGGAATGTACCTATTTAACTGGTACCTACAGCCATAAATAGCATTACTGGCATCCCAAAGCCTCCCAGCTTGTGCTCCCAGCTTTTATTTTTTAAAGTGTGTTTTAGTATATTACTCTATCTTCATCACAGAGGGATTATCAATTTCTAAAATAATAAACTAAAATAAGATATATTTGACAGTAAATATACTATATATAATTTTTTAATGGTTTAGAGAGTAAGTGTTGTTGTAAACAAACTTTAAACAACAGGCACTATATATCTAGTGTGAAAAACAGGCAATGTGTAATAATCTGAAAAACCAAAATATAAAATTATTGATACTACATTGAGTATACTTTAGTTTGCTAATATTCTGGTCAGTTCTTTTGACATTATATTTCGTTGGATAAATTTATTTTATAAAATATAGTCTACTTTCTAAATCTATATAGGCTGTGTCCTTAATTTTTAAAAAATTTTTCAGTTGTGGCAAAATACACAAATACACCATCTAAACCATTTTTAACTGTATGGTTCAGTGGCATTAAGGACATTCATATTGCTGTACAACCATCACCACTATTCATCTCCAGAAATTTATTTATCTCATCTTGCAAAATTGAAGCTCTGTACCAGCAGTCCTCCAGTTTTTTGGCACCAAGGACCAGTTTCATGGAAGACAATTTTTCCACAGACCGTAGCAGGAGGCAGTGGTGGGGCAGATGGCTTTATAGCCAGCCAGCAGATGTAGCTTAATTGTCACTTGTCTCAACTCACTGATAGGGTTTTGATATGAGTCTGCAAGCAATTGATTTTTTATGGTCTCTGTGCAGTCATACCTCTCTGTTAATGATAATCTGTATTTGTAGCCACTCTCTAGTGCTAACATCATCGCCTAAGCTCCACCTCAGATCATCAGGCATTAGATTCTCCTAAGGAATGTGCAGCCTAAATCCCTTGCATATGTAGTTCACAGTAGGATTTGTGCTTCTGTGAGAATCTAATGGTGGTCTGACAGGAGGTGGAGCTCAGGCTGTAATGCAGGTGATGGGGAACCAAAAGGGAGCCGCTGTAAATACGGATGAAGCTTTGTGGGTCTGCCTGCTGCTCACCTCCTGCTGTGCAGCCAGTTCCTAACAGACCAGGGACCATGGTCCCAGGGGTTGGACTCATGTTCTATTCCCAGTAAATAATAACTCCTTACTCCTCTCTCCCTACAGCCCCTGGAAATCACCATTCTACTATCTCATTTTATGAATTTGACTACTCTTGGTTAACTCATATAAGTGAAATTGTGCAATATTTGTACTTTTGTGATGGGCTTATTTCACTGAACATAGTGCCTTCAAAGCTCATCCATGTGTCAGGATTTCTTTTTAAGGCTAAATAAAATTTCTGTGTATTTTCGTGTGTGTTGGGGGGGGGGTGTGTGTGTGTGTGTAACACACCACATTTTGTTTATCCATTCACTCATCTGTCAGTGAACACTTGAATTCCTTCATCCCTTATTTATTCTAATTGATGCTGCTATGAACATGGGTATACAAATATTTCTTTGAGTCCCTGCTTTCAATGCTTTGGTGCATGTACCCAGAGGTAGAATTTCTGGATCCATCTTTAATTTTTAAAGGTTTTTGTTTTCTACCTTTTTCAAATCTCTTTTATGGTAAATCTTGTTTCTGTGATCATACTATGGGTACAATGACACCTTTATGATTGTATCAGTGTTCCACCATTTTGATAACTAAAAAACTCCTAAAAATTCCTAAAACTAAAAAAAAACCTCCATTTTTTACAAGTTTGCTAGTAATTTTATTCACAATTCTATAGCACAACTTTAGAAGTAGCTTTCACAGGAAGAATTGTGCTATGTTGAAGTCTGATTAGTCATACCTAGAACAAAAGTCTCATGTAGGGGATTATCTTTTTACATATAGTAATACTTTCCTTCATGAATTTTTTTTTTTTTTTTTTTTGCTTTAAAATATACAGGGTTTTGTTTGTTTTGAGAGTTGGCCTCCCAGAGCATTTAAATTGAAATTAAAGGCCATGAAACATTTCCTGAATTTAACATCTTATATCTTACACATTTTATATAAAATACTGTGTACCTATTTTACTGTATTTTGTTGAAGGTTTGTTAAAAAACATAGGAGATATATGATACTAAATTCTAGTACAAAATATTTCTTAAAGATTTCTATTATGCTAGTTTCTATGACTAGAAATATGGCCCAAGTCGGTGGTAATGTTTTAAGAAATTAAAACAAGAACAAAAAAAAAGATTCCTGCTTCCCATCCCATGCCCACTAAGCTCACAGGCCAGAGAGACCTGGTTCAACCAGGGTCCTTTATTTATTTATTTATTTATTTTAATTTTTTTATTTTTTTACTTTACTTTTTATTTATTGATTTTGGGGGTAGGAGAAGGGGGAGAGAGAGAGAAACATAGGTTCGTTGTTCCACTTATTAATGCATTCATTGGTTGCCTTCTGTATGTGCCCTGATCAGAGATCAAACCTGCAACCTTGGCTTATTGGGATGGCCTGTCTAGCCAATAAACAGAGCAACCTAGCCAAGGCCCTGGTTTGGTCCCTTCCAGTTCCCTGGTTGCTTCTTTTTTTCCCCCCCTTTTTTTATTATTATTTTTTATTTTATTTTTTTAAATATGTAAATCATGTTTATTCTACAGTTGTCTCAATTTTTACCCCTTCCCCGCTCCGCCTATCCCATCCCCGCTCTGCCTATCCCATCCCCACCCCCCTCTCCCACAGTCAATTCCCACTCTGTTGTCCATGTCCATGGGTCATTGATACATGTTCTTCGTCTAGTTCCTTCCCTTTCTTTCCACCATTGTCCTCTTTCCCCATCCCCTCTGGTCACTTTCAGTCTGCTCCATGTTTCCGTGCCTGTGGTTTATTTTGTTTGTTAGTTTATTTTGTTGAATAGAATCCACTTATAGGTGAGATGATACGGTATTTGTCTTTCATCAACTGACTTATTTGACTTAGCTTAATATTCTCCAGTTCGATCCATGATGTCACAGAAAGGAGGAGTTCCATCTCTCCCTTTCTTTCTTAAATGCAGATTGATTTTATTTATTTTTTTAAATATCAAAGTTAATTATAAAATATTTTTAAAATGTAAAACCATTATAAAGTCTCAGCAATTAAACCAACATGACACCAAAAGAGAAATAATCAAGTAGATCAATGAAACATAATGAACATTCTAGAGACAAACACATATGTCTGTCTAACAATATAATATATGATTAAGTTAGTATCTGGCCTAAGTATATTATTTATTGCCAATTGGTTATCTGTAATGTTCAATAGATATCAATGAAGAAAGTTCTTAGTAAAATATGTAGGAAAGCATTTTCATACTGCTTGTTTTTTCCTGTGAACTTTCCTATGTAATAACTAATTGTTACTACCATTTTAGAAAGTGCGTTTACAAATTTATGTCTCAGAGTAATTGCTTCATTTCAGTTTAAAAAACAAACAATACCTTAACATTTGGTAGAAGATACAAGCCAAAAACACAATAGGTGAACTTTATGGTATATAAATTATGTCAGTAGAGCTGCAAATAGGAAATGGGAAATTGAATTTTGAAGAAAAATCTCTAAATATGGTATATAGTTTTTTGCCAACATGTGTGTTATATGGTTGTAAAATTTTAATAAGACTTACTGATGATAAATTCTATCAAACTAAAATTTGCCTACCTTTAATGAAATAATTTTATGAATTATGTATTTATTTATAAATTATATAGTCCTTTTAAATTTATTATTTTAACATTTAAATATTACAAATAAAGCAAAGCTGTATGTTCTCATTAGCCATTAATCTAGTAATTTCTTTATTCTTACATAAATTTCTAAGGAGAAGCAGCTGTTCATAATTCTTACGTTTACTTCTTTTTCTCCCCACAGAAATGGCAGGATATTATTAAGGAAGTCAAATTTCTACAAAGAATAAAACATCCCAACAGTATAGAATATAAAGGCTGCTATTTACGTGAGCACACAGCATGGGTAGGTATCTGTTCTTCCCTTGCTATAATTTTAGTTGGTTTGAACATAGAATGAATTAAATTAAGAATGTCTCAAAATGGTTATGTGAAGCTTGCAAAAAACACCTTGAAATGTTATTTCAGCCCTGGCTGGTGTGGCTCAGTGGATCGAGTGCCAGCCTGTGAACCAAAAGGTCACTGGTTCAATTCCCACTCAGGGCACATGCCTGGGTTTTGGGTCAGGTTCCCCAGCTGGGGGCTTGTGAGAGGTGACCAATCCATATATTACTCACACATGGATGTTTCTCTCCCTCTCTTTTTCCCTCCCTTCCCCTCTTTCTAAAATGTAAATAAATACTATCTTGAAAAAAAGAAAGAAAGAAATGTTATTTCATACTGAGAAAGGAAGAACAGCTTTTCCTAGAACTAATACTCCTAGGGATGAAGAACTTTTACAAGTTAGCTGACCTTTATGTGCATGGTAAAATGTTCTCTGACATTTTTAGTAGTTTATCAAACTACTAAATAGTTTCCCAAACATTGTGAAAACAATTCTATTACCTGAGGGTGAAAGTTACATCATCTTTTTGACATAAATGTATTATAATCTATTTTATCACAAAGTTCTTGGTGAAGTCTTGGTGAATCCTGGTGAAATTTGAATAGATTGTGATTCCTTAGCTGAGTAATACTAAATGTAGAGAATTGAGACCCTTTATTACAAGAAGTGGAGGTTAATTTTACCCTATTGTTACCACTGAGGTGAGATGGTAGTAATCCTTCAATGGTATAGGGATAATAACTGTGTTTCTTAAGAGAAAGGCTAAATTTTCTTTAAATAGGAATGACCTCTTATTTTGAATAGTTAATAAGCCATAGCTAATATCATTTTAGTGTACTGAAGTTAGATTTAGATTTGTAATGTTTGTTGCATTTTTATCCAATTTGAATTTTGTGGTTGTGGTGGTGATACTCCTAAACTTGAGTTTGTGGTTAAAGTAAAATCAGTGCCATTGCGTTGGTTACTTCTCTGTCTCTCAAGTTTTTCTATCTGTAAAACAGGGAAATAATAGGGCTTACTTCATAAGGTGGTTGTGAAGATTAAATTAGTTAATATATATAAAATAGCTGGCGTATAGTAGGTACAATGTGTTTGCTGTAAATGAAACTTCATACTGTAACCTAAGTTTTGTGCGTATAGTCCCAAAGGACAGTTTTCTGCTTCCAAACAATCAGTATTCTATTCTAGGTTAATAGTAACAGAATATGTATATTCTTTCATAATTATAGTAGTTATATTTTTGTACTTATAATTATAGTAATTATAATTTGTACAAGCAATTATATATTGGTATTATAAAAGAAGATATCATTGGCTTAACTTTATATTTGCATTAAACAAATGGCTAACTATGTAAATGTTTGTTTTTTAAGTTAAAAAATGACTAGAGTTTGTTTTACTTCAAACTATATTCTTGATCTTTGTGGAGAACTTATATTATCTCAAATAGAATCTTTTCAATAATATATTTTAATGCTTTTATAATATTTCTTCCCATATAGCTTGTAATGGAATATTGTTTAGGATCTGCTTCAGATTTACTGGAAGGTAGGTTTCCTGTCATTGTTAAGGGGGAAGAAAGCATTAGCAAAATGGGAATTCAGTAAGAGAGTTCTTGAATAATATAAAAACTTTCCAAAAGAGTGAAAACCTTAAAATTTTCTACAGCAGATTCTCAGCATGGTGTGCACAATCCTCATTTAATGTTATATAGTAGCATAAGACAGGTGCATTTTCTCTCATTGTGCCTTAACGATCATTTTTCTGTATTCTTTGTCATTAAGCTTGCTCTGTTCCTTTTGTTCAGAATGAAAATATGTGAGAATAAAGGGGAAACTTCTCTTTTGTTAATTTTGTTTTTATTGTCACCAAATAATTGTTAAATGTTATTAGCTTTGAGAAATATTGGCTGTAACCTCTACTTTAACAGCAAGGCACAATTGATACTAGTTATAACATCTAGTAACCTTGTTTTATATCTTGGGAGGCAAATCCCTTGTTGCATAATGTTAGTGTTTAAAAATTGCCCCATATATATCAGATGTGTATATTTATTACTTTAAACAAAATGTTCTACATAGTAATTATTTTCAAATAAATTCTTATTTTAAGTTCACAAAAAGCCATTGCAAGAATTGGAAATAGCAGCAATTACACATGGTGCTCTCCAGGGATTAGCCTACTTACATTCTCATACTATGATTCATAGGTAAGTAAGTTGAAAATTATCATATATTAACAGGCAAATGGTTTCTTGTATTTATCAACCCTGGAACTTATTAACCCTGAAATGTTTATTAGTTATAGCCAAACAAAAGCATTTTGGAATCTTATGAATACATCTTCTTTAGATTGTCCATACCTTAAAAAGAATATACTAGTACATTGGTCTCTTTGTTTAGGATAATTTTTATCTTTGTCTACACATGCTGCTAGGCTTTTTGAAGTATATGTACTTTATACATTTGGGGTAGAAATTTAATTACAGAATTATTTAATTTGCAAAATGGAGACGACATCAGGGATTTTGTAGTTATTTTGTTTTGCAGATGAAGAAACTGGTGCCTCAATTTGAGTCTAATTTCCCCAAGCTTATAAAGCCAGATAGATTAAACTGGACTAATCCTAGATCTTTTACCTTCCTGGTAACTGAAAATGCCAGATTTGTTCCATTGATTACATAACACAGACATATCAAGGCCACTTCAGCCTCTTTATCGTTTTGAATATTAGCCCTTGATAATCCATGATAATGGATAGTGACTTTAAGATTAAACCATTTTATAGTGCATTTTTAGCATTGGTATTAGTTTTGCCTGTTTTAGAAGGAAGTTAACATTTTTTTGATGATATATGTGAACCAGGCAATACATATGAAACTAGATAGTAGAGTCATCTTGAGTTCATTGGTTATCATTTTTTTAGGTGAGGATAGTAAGGTCCAAGAGAAATCCACATGGTAGTAAGTATATGTAAGAGATGGAATTAGAACCTAAGATCTTCTCAACATCAAATTACCCTTCCATTTAAAAAAAAACAAAAATAAATGGAGGGATAATAGGTTCAGTATTATATCCGTTATAATAGTACAGTAAGAATTGAGAAGTATTTAGAAATAAAGTTTTTCTATTTTGAAAGTCTTAAGTGTATATCATGGGCATGCAGTCTTATTATATAAATATCCATCATTTTCTTGGTTTATGTGGATAATATGTTTGCTGATTTAGAAAAGTAAGTTTGAAAGTAAATTTGGGATCACTGATATTACATTATTCTTATATATTTTCATTTCATATTATGTTAGGTGAATTATGCTAAGCTTTGGGTATGATATGAATAATTCTTTTTTAGAAATTGGGGGCATATTTGCAATAACATGGATGGGTCTAGAGGGCATTATGCTAAGTGAAATAAGTCAGGCAGAGAAAGATAAATATTGTACGGTTTCACTTATGTGTGGAGTCTAAAACAAAACAGAAATAGCAACCAAAGAGATACTTACCAGAAGGGAGGGGTGGGAGGATGGGTGAAAATAGGAAGAGGAATATAATCAATAATATGATAAGTTTGCACAATGACAGATGATTACTAGAATTAGTTGGGTGATCACACTATAAGGTATAAAAATGTCAAATCACTATATTCCACACCTGAAATTAATAAACCAGTATAAGATTGTATAGTACACTTAAATTTCAAATTTTTAAGAATTAAATATTGAAAATTTGGGCATAAAGTTTTTTATTTGTGTACATTAAGTGGGATAGTCAGAAATCTTACATGTATGAAGAAGTGGTCAACTACTTAAATTCTATTTTTAAAGCCATTAATTGTACCAGTAAACAGGAACTCAAATATAGACTATATGCTGCAGTTGCGGAATAGTCTGTCCTTTGTTTTTACTGCTATTTTGTCTTCTCTTTGAGAAAAGTATTCCTATATAGTTATATGAATTCTGTATTTTTGGTTTTCTAATTTGGATTTTAATTCTTATTGTCCCAAACTTAATTACTTTGATTTCTTCCTGCCTACTTTACAAATTTTTATTTTATCTTTATCATTTTCAACACAATTTAATAAAAGAAAAAGAAATAATTTTCTGTGTTCCTTAAACCCAGAGATATCAAAGCAGGAAATATTCTTCTGACAGAACCAGGCCAGGTGAAACTTGCTGACTTTGGATCTGCTTCCATGGCATCTCCTGCCAATTCTTTTGTGGGAACGCCATATTGGTAAGTATAATCCTATCTAGTATTGACCCTCATAATTGAAATAGGTAATGTATGGTTGTACTTTTTTCAGATGTCTTTTTCCTGAAAACACAATGCTATTTTGGACATTTTTAACTTTAAGTATTGTAGTTAGTTTCAAATATAAATTTGGGGTGCTGCACTTACATCTCCTATTTTTTTATTCCTTCTCCCTGCTCCTTCACATTTTCTTTTTTATTATTATCTGCATCATATATTGGGCATGGAGTGGGGGAAAAAAAACCAATAAAAATTGAAGTAGGGAGTAGATAGAAATGCTAAGCAGAAATTGTGTTTTCTGAGAGTTCTGGCCGAGATGGAGGCATAGGTAGATGCACGTCCCTTCCTCACACAACCAAAGAAAGATAACAACCAATTTAAAAACAAAAAACAACCAGAACTGCCAGAAAATAAAAATAAATAGAAGTTCAACAAACAAGGAGTTAAGAAGAAACATTCGTCAAGACTTGTAGGAGGGGTGGAGAGGGCCCACAGCAAGGCTGAGGCTGGTAGACCAAGGTGGGCAAGGTGGCAGCTGGTAGACTAGGACATCCCACATTTGCATGCAGATAAACTGGGAGGAACAACATGCAACCCAGGATTCCCAGCTCGGGGAAATAAAGCCTCTACACCTCTGGCTGTAAAAATCTGTAGGGATTGCAGCAGCAAGAGAAACTCCCGTCCTCACAGGAGAGTTTTTTGGAGAGACCCACGGGATCCTAGAATGTGCACAACAAGCCCACCTACCTGGAAATCAGCACCAGAAGAGCCCAATTTGCTTGTAGGTAGCGAGGGAAGTGACTGAAAGCCGGTGAGAGCTGAGCAAGCAGCTTTGTTCCCTCTCTGACCCCTGCCCCACATGCAATGCCACAATGCAGTGAAGTAGGTTGCCCTGCCCTGCTTAATGCCCAAGGCACCACCTCTTACAACATAACTGGTGTGCTGAGACAAAGAAATAAGGCCCAAATGAAACAACAGATCAAGGCCCAGAAAAAGAACTAAGTGACAAGGAAATAGCCAACCTATCAGATGGAGAGTTCAAAACACTGGTAATCAAGATCCTCACAGAAATTATTGAGTATGGTTGCAAAATAAGGGAAGAAATGAAAGCTATACAAAGTGAAATAAAGGAAAATATACAGGGAACCATCAGTGAAGGGAAGGAAACAAGGACTCAAATCAGTGATTTGGAACAAAAGAAACAAACAAACATCCAACCGGAACAGAATGAAGAAACAAGAATTCAAAAAAATGAGAGACTGGGAAGCCCTGGGACAACTTTAAACATTCCAACATCAAACATAGGGGTACCAGAAGGAGAAGAGGAAGAGGAAGAAATTGAGAACTTACTTGAAAAAATAATGAAGGAGAACTTCTCCAATCTGGTGAAGGAAATAGGCGTACAAGTCCAGGATGCTCAAAGAGTCCCAAAAAAGTTGGATCCAAGAGGAAAGACACCAAGACACATCATAATTAAGTTACCTGAGATTAAAGATAAGGAGAGACTCTTAAAAGCAGCAAGAGAAAAGGAGAGTGTTTCCTACAAAGGAGTTCCCATAAGACTGTCAGCTGATTTCTCAAAGGAAACCTTGCAGGCAAGAAAGGGCTGGGAAGAAGTATTTGAAGTCATGAAAGGCAAGGACCTACATCCAAGATTACTCTACCCAGCAAAGTTATCATTTAGAATGGAAGGGCAGATAAAGTGCTTCCCAGATAGGTAAATTAAAGGAATTCATCATCACCAAGCCCATATATGAAATGTTAAAGAGATTTATCTAAGTAAAAGAAGAAGATGAAAAACTATGAACAATAAAATAACAAACTCACAACTATCAACAGTTGAACCTAAAAAACAAAAATTAAGCCAACAACTGGAACAGGAACAGAATCACAGAAATGGAGATCACTTGGAGGGTTGTCAGTGGGAGGGAGGGGAAGAAAGGGGAAAAAACGTATGGGGAATAAGCAGCATAAATAATAGGTACAAAGTAGACAGGAAGAAGTTAAAAATAGTACAGGAAATGGAGAAGCCAAAGAACTTTTATGTACAACCCATGGACATCAACTACAGGGGTGGTACAGGGTAGAGGGTAATAAAGAGGAGAAAACAAAATGGGACAACTGTAATAGCATAATCGGTCAAATATACTTAAGAAAGAAATTTGTGTTTTCTTTAGGTTTATTCTATGTATCAATGATCTTCATACTAAGAGCACCTAAAGACTGATAGTTAACTGGGAGTTTTGAGGACTTTATATATTATTGTAGAGAGCTTCAAATACACATAAAAGTCAACAAGAGTATAATAAAGGCCTCACATACCAATCACTCATCCCAACACCATTATCCCATGGCCATTCCCACCCTATGTACTCATTCCTCTCCCCTTCTTCTCCACCCCTCAGTTATTTTGAAACAAATTCTAGACATAATATAATTTTAACCATAAATAATTCAGTATTAAAGTTAGCAAGTTTGAAGGGAATCAACTTTCTAGATCTTCAGCTTCTATCCATATGTGTCTTCTTTCTCTTTGTATGCTGAGAGTGTTGTCTTAGGTCCGCTCTATCTTTTTTTCCCCCATGGACCTTTGAAATTTCCTTCTCCTGCTTTATAGAAGAAAGGCTTTTTACCCATTGAGATTATTACAGTGATGCATTGCTTTGGGATACAGAAGCCTAAAGTCAACACCAGAGGGACAATTTCAGAGTATATAGCGTCTTTTGGAAATACTGAAGAGTCAGGACACAAACACTTGGTAAGGCTTTGTGCCTTTCCCATTATCTCCCTTCCCGTTACTATTATCCCTTACTGTGTCTTTATCCCCAATTATCTTCCCTCCCTTCTTTTTTTCTGATGTAGAATTCATAACTGAGATAGCTGTCATGGGGGCATGTTAACATGTTACTGGTATTGAAATGAAGTCAGACAGACTTTTTCTGACAGATTATTCTGATTTGACTGACTGATAATCACCATGAAGACAGGCTTTGCCAATTAAGTTACATGGCAGTGTTTTTGATAAATTGAATGAACTAATTCCACAACTCCAAGTTTTAAATATCTTTAGAGCACATATACAATATACTATGTGTGTGTGTGCGCTGTGCATTATATCATTATATCTTTTGCAACTATTAAATTTATAAAATTGAGATATAAACTCAAAAATGCACAAGGGAGATACATAGTTTTTATAAATTCATTGGAGGTAAGTGAATAAAAGAAATTGAAGACCCTGTTCTAGAAGAGAAAAATTTTTATGAGGCCCCTAATTAGAATAGTCTCCCTCCCGTCTATACAGAAAGGTTTCTGTGAGCAAATATTTCTTAATGATTCTCCTCTTTAGAAACTAATGATGAATATTAGATATTTAAAAGGGCCCTGGAATATTCTACAATAAAAAATTTAACTTAGTAATTTTCCAAAATTACTTCAACGTCTTAAATAACACATTGCAAACACCTTATTATTAACAATTGAAAGTATATTTTAGTTACATATTTGTTAATTTGTATATAGTATATTTGGAACATGATAACTAGGCACATATTTATATATGTTTGCATATGTGCATGTACACACTGGAGTCCCTGGTGATAATCTTACTGAAGAAGTCACCAGGTGTTTTTAAGTGGCTATCTGTGCTTAACTCCAAAGGTAAATGAAGAATAAGATTAAAGTACCATCAAAAATGTTAGACTCTAGGGGAGTGGTCTGGCTGAGCAAGATTGCTGCTGCCACATGGGGAATGAGTTAGCACTGGGATCCTACCGGCTACTCTCTCAGTTCTCTCCCGAAAGCCTCCCTCCCCACTCTCTCCTCGGGTGTCTCTAGCCCACTCTGCCTCCACCCTTGCCAGAGACCAGGATAAGGCCACTTTTTTATCTGAGCTTCTCTGACCCCCTTCTTGGGATATGCTGGCTCATTGAAGCACTTCTCTTGGAACTTCAGCAGCCAGTAAGGACATTGTCTGCTATAACCTGCAAACAGTTGAACATATATTCTACATTTTTTCATTTCTCTACACCATCAATTACATCTGGTACCTATACAAAGAGCTAAGGATGAAACACACCCAGAGCGGACAGAGCACATTTTCCCTGATAATAAATAATACTTGTCAAGTTGGACATATAGCCATCATTTTGTCAAGCCTGATACCTCTACCATTGATGATACTTATATTCTATTTGGGCAATGTCAGTGAATGTTTTCTCAACTTTAGCCAGAGCCACAGGTGGATCCTGATGCACTCACCGCCATCAGCCATAGCTGAATTCCTGCCTTCTGCCAACACATCAGTCTGTAGCACACTTTATTTTTATGGACTCACCATTTTCCTGGCCAGCTTTCTACTCAGCCTCTTCATCATCGTCGTCTTACTCATCCAAACACAGACACTGTATAAGAAGTTTGTGAAATCGACTGGTTTTCTGGGAAGTGAGCAGTAGGCAGTGATTCACATCGCAGAACGAGTGCATTTCTACCCAGTGGCCTTCTGGGGCCCAGCTGTCATTATGGTGATCATAAAGCTGATCAAGCCACAGGACACCAAGCTCCACATGGCCCTCTATGTTCTCCAGGCTCTAACAGCCTCATCCCAGGGTCTGCTCAACTGTGGCATATATGGATGGACACAGTACAAGTTCAACTAAAGCAAGAGGCTTGGCATGATGCAGACACCCAGACACCATTATTATGCTCACAGAAGAGATCGTATAGCAGGGGCCTAAATCCACTGGAGTCTGCCTTTGCTTTTGCTACCAACACCTCCACCATTCTTTGAAACTATAATTCCAGAATACAGGCACTGGAGTTATTCTACACTAAGGGATTAGGAAGAGTGTGGGGAAACATCCTAAGTCTTTTCTAGCCCTGCTTTGAACTATGGAAGTGAAAGGGAATTTAGTGCCATGGTTAGCAGCCATTCTAGGCAAATTGGGCAGGATCTTGTCATTTTCAGATTCACTAGTGATTCTTAAAGTCTTTGTTCAGGGAGATGAAGTCATTTTCCATCAAAGAGACTCATATTACCTCAATAAATATTATATTTATCTAGGTCTTTTCTAGAAAAAATTAGTTCCAGTTTATTATTTAAACATGCCACTTTTAGGCTCTCCTTGGTTGCAGTAAAGTAGAGTGGCATGCAACAATTTTCTCAGATCTCATTGTTCTACTGTCTCTGAGGCTGGACAAAGAAAATTCTGGATTTCTGTTCTTTGAATTGGTTTGGAAACTCAGTATAAACAAGGACAACAACTGTCAAAAAAGTGACAGTGGAATTCTCAGATATACTACATTCTAGTCTCTCATGTTCAGTGCTGTTCTAGGCCTTGACAATAGGGACCATCCTACTCTAGAAAAAGTCTTTTGAAGGGGATAACAAGATTTAAGAGAAATCATGACTAATGGAAACTCTAGCAATCAAAAACTCTAAACTGTCACTTATAAGCAGAAGTCCTATGTTGGTTTAATAGTGCCTGGACATTGAACTAGGTTGAAACATATGAACTTCCCATTTTTCTAGGTGAAAAAAGTCTAATATCAATATTACATTATTCAACCTAACAGTGCTAAGTATGTTTGTAGGATAAATGAATAAACAAATGAATGAATGACTAACGAGTAAAAAATAAAGTTAGACTCTAGTTGAAGGTATGAATTGATGTTTCATTTTGTGACCAAGACATATAAGGTTGATTATTGTCTGATTGTTGTGGTTGTGAGGTTCTCTAGCCACTTTAATCACAAAACGCTATTTTTATTTGCAAGAAAGACTGACAGACTATGGTTATTTAGTGCTGGTTATTGTGGCAAATATTTCTGAAATAAATGGAGTAAGCTTGTAGCTTGAAGGAAAATAACTGCTGATATTCAATGCCAGTGATGGAGTTTGATATTTTTAGCAAAAATTAGACGTTTGTATAGGGATCCTGAGACCACTACTGGCCTAACAGTTATACAGTATTAGAACCTTAAAACTTGAACAGGTGCAGAATATAATCCTGCTCTGTGGCATCCTTTTAGGATGTTGTGATATGATCATGACACATAGTGAGAATGAGTCTCACACTATATGTGCAGTGGTAAATATTTACCTCACAATATAATACATTCATTTCCCATTTTAAAAACTTATATGTCCAGAAATATTGTCTGCAGTTCACACAGGTATTCTTCATGTAGATAGTTACTATATTTTAATGAATAGTATACATTATTTTTACTTTAATTTAAATGACATTTTATGTTTTAGGATGGCCCCAGAAGTAATTTTGGCCATGGATGAAGGACAGTATGATGGCAAAGTAGATGTATGGTCTCTTGGAATAACATGTATTGAACTAGGTAAGCATTCTTCTTTATTACTATGTAGTAAAATTTAATTAATATAGTACCTCAATTTCTGTACCAAATTATAGGTTTTTATTTTTTGTGTTAGTTCCTAAGGGAAATAATACCTTTGTTAAAGTTTTTACTTTGGTGACCTGTTAATTTTCATACATATTAGGTTAGGTATATTATATTTGCTCTGTTAAATTAGGTCTAAAATAATTTTCCTCTATAGTATTATATTTGAAATACCTATGTCTAGCACTAATGACTATTTGTTAAACATCTAAAATATATATATAATTACTAGACTTAACCATCTATGGAAGGTCTCTAAAGCATGCATGAATTACTTACCTCTTCTTAGGACGCTTATGACCTCGAAGTGGGTATGAGAATTAGGTGCCAGGCTGCATACTATATTGCATGTAGTGTTTTGATTTTATACACACATTTTGTTTTGTTGCCCATAAATGGAACTATGCTTAAGACAGTAGGCCGTCATAACTTTACTAACATTCCACCCTGGTTGGTGTGGCTCAATGGATTGAGTGCTGGACTGCGAAACAAAGGATCACTGGTTTGATTCCCAGTTAGGGCACATGCCTGGGTTGCAGGTGAGGTCCCCAGTAGGGGGCGCATCAGAGGCAACCACACATTGATGTTTCTTTCCCTCTCTTCTTCCCTTCCCCTCTGTCTAAAAATAAATCTTTTTTTTTTTAAGTAACTTGACTAGCATTCCTATTTTAAGGAACCAAAGTGGATAATTGAACTGTCACTGTAATTAAAGATGATGAACATCTTCTTGCTTTTGATTCCGTATACTTCCCCACCCACCTACCCCCATCAACCCAGCATCCTTTCCTTTTTTTTCTTATAAGAATAGTCCATTAAACTTTATTTAAAAGTGGAAAATATTTGGGAGTATTTACTTGGACCATTTTAGTAGTGACCAAGGATTGAAAAGAACATATTAAAAGTAAAATCTGCCCTGGCTGGTGTGGCTCAGTGAATTGAGTGCCAGCCTGCAAACCAAAGGGTCACCAGTTCCATTCCTAGTCTAGAGTACATGCCCTGGTTGCAGGCCAGGTCCCCAGTAGGGGGAGCATGAGAAACAACCACACATGAATGTTCCCTCTCTTTCCCCCACCCTTCCCATCTCTAAAAAATAAATAAATAAACAAACAAAAGCAAGCAAAATCCATGTGTAATTTTGATAAATCATTATTATCCTTGTCTTGGTAGTAGTTTTCTAAAACAAGTAGAGGAAATTGAAGTAAAAAGTAAAGCTTACTTATCACTACATATTAAGTGAATATCATAATTTCCATTACAGCCAGACTATTTATGTCTTGCAGTCTTAATATTTTTCCAAAATAATCTTTAAGATATTTTTACTTTTATTGGAATTCCTACATTAACCATTGCTTTCAGGCTCCATATCATATTTATTTTAAATTTGACAACATCAGAAAACAGGTTTGGAGACTATCACAGTGTCATTCTCTTCTGATCTCTTGGTCTCATTTTGAGGTTTATAATATATTTCTTCCATTTGAATATATCTTTAAGTGCCATAAACTTTATTCCTTTACTCTTGATTCTTCTTCTTACTGGTAGATCCTAATTAATTAAATGTAGAAACACGAGTTAATATACTCTGACCACGAAATATTTTTACATACTCTACCCCTTGGTGATATTGAAATGGTCTTGTTAGATATCATTGTTAGATAGTGGTCTTATTAGATATCATTGATATATTTTAGTATTTACTTTATTAGAAAGTATTAATCAGCTCATTGTACTACTCAGAAAGAAGTCTGTCTAAACTATGCAGTTTCTGTGAAATGGCTTCCTACTTTTTCTAGGTTTTCTAGCTTTTTATTATAGTTCATAAAATAAACTTATAGTAATGCAACTTCAAAAGATGTGACTGCCTGTATATAATTTTAAATGATGAGATACTAGAGTTTTAGGCATACATTCATCATCTTCAACTTTTTAAATAGTCTGTCATAATCACTTTTTAGGATTTCACTTACAAATATATTGAACTATGAAATACTAAGTCAGGATCTATATTTTAAGACTGATTCTGGTTCCAGGGGAAGGGTCTAGGGGTAGCACAGACCAATATAACTTTCTGCAAGAATAGAAATGATCTGTATCTGCATGGCTTTTGAGCACTGGAAATGTTGTTAGTGCAACTGAGGAACTACATTTTAAATTCTACTTCTTTTAAATAAGTTTGTATTTAAATAGCCACATGTGGTTGCCCAGTTAGACAATCCAGGTCAGAGGCATGATTTTCATTGCAAATTAGATTTGCAGTCTTGAGAAATGTATCTATTATATGCTTTTCTACTTTAAAAAAAGTTGGAGATAATGAATAAAGCAAATTATTTTCTTATAGGTGAGAGGACAAACAAATCAATTGTACTATCCTTGCTTTTGATAAATATAGACCTAAATAAATATGACTCACTCATACTTTGTTATAAAGGTTGAAATAACTTGGTTGTGTCATACAACCAAGATATCTTAAAAGTGCAGGATTTTTCATAGGTGAGTTTGTATGTTTGTTTACAATTTGATGAAAAAGATTGCTAATTTGGTTTGTTTTAGGCTATTTACATGATTGTACAATTGTAAAAATAAAATTTATCATCTTTTTTTATTATAAATTATACAGGATGGGGCAAAAGTAGGTTTTCAATTGGAAGTATGCAAAGCACACATTTTATTTTTGTATTATTAAATTCTATTATTTTCTATACCAACAACTGTAAACCTTTTGTCCCACCATATATGTTGAGGGTATAATATTTCATAAATGTATAAAGGAGTATAAAGAAAATAAATGAAAATAACTTTAACAGTAATTTGTTAATGGATACACAGAATATAAAGACTTAAATTGTGACAACAAAAACAAAACAAGGGGGGTTGTGGAGAGTAAATATGTAAGCTTTAAAATTTGTTCTACTCTAGTTGTTAGGAATTTAAAAGACTATTAAAGCAGCCCTGGCTGGTATGTCTTAATGGATTTCTCACCTTCAGGAATTAGAAAAAAGAAGAACTAAGCTAAAGTTAGCAGATGGGAGGAAATAACAAAGTTCACAATGGAAATAATTGAAATACAGAGTAAAGTGAATAGAAAAGATCAGTGAAATGAAGAATTGGTTTTTTGAAAAAATAAACAAAACTAACAAAACTTTAGCTAGACTCGCCAAGAAAAAAAGAGTAATAACTGAAAGTAAATATAGTCACAAATGAAAGAGGTTACAACTGATACTATAGAAATACAAGGGATCTCAAAAGACTGTAGTTGACCCCTTTGAACAACGTGGAGATTAGGAGTGCTGACCACTGCGTAGTCAAATCCATATATAGCTTTTGATCACCCCAAAACTTAATTACTAATAGCTTACTGGGGACTGGAATCCTTACCAATAATATAAAACAGTCAACACATTTTGTATGTTATACGTATTACATACGTATATATTGGATTTTTACAATAAAGTAAGAGAAAGGAAAATGTTATTAAATTTATAAGAGAAGATACATTTACAGTATTGTACTATATTTGTTTATACATTAAGTTTATGTTGTCTGTTGTGAATTTTCTATCAGTACCTACATCAATACTGTCTAATATGATAACAATGTGTAGGTGTTCTATGTGTTACTAATAATAGGCGTCAAAAAAATATGAAAAATTCATATCTATTTACAAATATAATGATTCATGCATCAATAACAAGGATTAAGCATTGTAATTGCTTTATAGTAGCCTAGTGTGATTGATATGATTCTTTCATGGTAGTAAGAACATCTCCAAAAAATTTTTCAATATGTTAATTGAAAACAGTTGGTGTTTAAGTGGGCCCACACAGTTTAAACCCATGTTCAGGAGTCAACTGTACTATAAATGATTATACACCAACAAATTGGATTACCTAGAAGAAATGGATAAATTCCGAGAAACATACAGCTTACCAAGACTGAATCATAAAGAAATAGAAAATCTAAACAGACTGATTACTAGTAAGGAAATTGAATCAGTAATGAAAAACCTCCCAACAAACACAAGTCCAGGGCCAGATGAATTCATTTGTGAATTCTACCAACATTTAAAGAATTAATACTAATCCTTCTCAAATTCTCCCAAAAAATAGAAGAAGGAACACTTGCAAACTCATTTTACACTGCCAGCATTACCCCTATACCAAAACCATACAAACACAGTATAAGAAAAGAAAATTACAGGCCAGTATCCCTGATGAGCACATGTGCAAAAATCCTCAACAAAATATTTGCAAACTGAATTTGATAATATATTAAAAGGATCACACAAATACGATCAAGTGGGATTTATTCAGGGATGAAAGAATGATGGTTCAGCATTTGCAAATCAGTCAGTGTGATACATCACTAACAAATGATAAAAATCTTATGATCATCTCAATAGATGCAGAACAAGTATTTGACGAAATTCAACATCCATTTATGTTAAAAAAATAAAATAAAAACTCAACAAACTGGGTATAGAGGGAACATACCTAAACATAATAAAAGCTGCATATGACAAGCCCACAGCTAAGATCTTAGTGGTGAAAAGCTAAAAATTCTTCTAAGATCAGGAACAAGACAAGGATGCTCACTCTTGCTGCTTTTATTCAACATAGTATTAGAAGTTCTAGCCAGTCAATAGACAAAAATCAGTTGGATTTCTATACACTAACAACAAACTATCAGAAAGAAAAATTAAGAAAACAGTCCTATTTACAGTCGCATCAAATGGAATGAAATGCCTAAGAATAAATTTAATGAAGGAGGTCAAAGACCTGTACTCAAACTAAAAGAATTTGATTAAAGAAATTGAGGAGGACACAAATAAATCAAAAGATATTCCATGCTCATGGATTGGAGGAATTAATACTTAAAATGTCCATACTATCCAAAGCAATCTACAGATTCAGTGCCATTCCTATCAAAATTCCAATGGCATTTTTCACAGAAACAATCCTAAAATTTCTATGGAACCACAAAATGTCCCTAATAGCCAGAGCAGTCTTGAGAAGGAAGAAAAAAGATAGAGGTATCATGCTTCCTGATTTAAAACTATATTTGAAAGCTGTAGTAATCAAAACAGTATGGTATTGGCATTAAAACAGACACATAGATCATTGGAACAGAATAGAGAACCCCAAAATAAACCCACAAATATATGGTCACAAAGGAGCTAAGTAAGGATCCACAATGGGGAAAGGACTGCGTCTTCAATAAATAGTAATGGAAAAACTGGATCACTATTTGACACCATGCAAAAAATCAACTCAGAATTTAATTTTACAGAAGCAACCCAAATTCATATATACATTTGAGAGACATGTACAAGATAATGAATGGGATCTCAAACTTTTTTAAAAACATAAATCATATTATTATGTGGTTCAACTCAATCAGCAAAAACTACAAGTGTTCCCCTGAGATCAGGAACAAAACTGGGGTATCACTTTCTTCTCTATCATTTGTCATAGTACTGGAAGTCCTAGCCACAGCAATCAGACAAGAAGAAATAAAAGGCATCCAATTTGGAAAGGAAGACGTAAAACTGTCATTATTTGCAGATGGCACTATACTGTACCTAGAGAACTCCAAAGATTCAACTAACAGACTACTGAAACTGACAAATGAATTCAGCAGAGTAGCAGGACACAAAATTAATATCCAGAAATCAGTTGTATTTTTATATATCAATAACAAACTATCAGAAAGGGACACAAAACAGTCCCATTCACAATTGCTACAAAAAGAATAAAATACCTAGGAATAAACCTAGCCAAGGATGTAAAAGATCTGTACTTGGAAATTGTAAAACACTGAAGGAAGAAATTAAAGAAGTTACAAATAAGTGGAAGTATCTACCGTGTTCATGGACAGGAAGAATTAACATCATTAAATGTCCATACTACCCAAAGCAATGTACAGATTTGATGCAATTCCTATCAAGATTCCAATTACATATTTCACAGAACTAACACAAATATTTCAGAAATTTATATGGAACCACAAAAGGTGGTCCTGAAAAAGAAGAATAAAGTTGGAAGAATCATGCTACCTAATATCAAACTATACGACAAGGCCATAGTAATCAAAGCAGCCTGCTATTAAAACAGACACACAGATCAATGGAACAGAATAGAGAGCCCAGAAATAAACCCACACCTTTATAATCAATTAATATGCTACAGGGGAAGCAAGATCATACAGTGGGCTAAAGATAATTTATTCAATAAATGTTGTTGGGAAAATTGGACAGATATATGCAGAAAAATAAATTTAGACCACCTTCTTACACTACACACAAGAATAAATTCAAAATGGATTAAAGACTGAAGTGTTAGACCCGAAACCATAAAAATCCTAGAAGAAAACATAGGCAATAAAATCTTGGACATTTGTCATAGCAATATTTTATCTGATATATCTCCCCAGGCAAGGGGAACAAAAGAAAAAATAAACAAATGGGACTATATGAAACCAAAAAGTCTATGCACAGCAAATGAAATCATCAACAAAATAAAAAGACAACCCACAGAATGGGAGAACTTATTCACAATACATCTGATAAGGGATTAATATCCAAAATTTATAAAGAACTTACAAAACTGAATGCCAAAAAAAACAACCCAATTAAAAAATGGGCAAAGGACCTGAATAGACACTTCTCCAAAGAGGACGTATGGATGGCCATAGACATGAAAAGATGTTCAACATCACTAATCATAAGAGAAACACAAATTAAAACCACAATGAGATGTCATCTCACACCTGTAAAAATAGCTATGATAAATAAATCAACAAACAACAAGTGCTGGCAAGGATGTGGAGAAAGGAGAACCCTTTTGCACTGTTGGTGGGAATGCAGACTGGTGCAGCCACTGTGGAAAGCAGTAAGGAGATACCTCAAAAAAATTAAAAATGGATCTGCCTTTTGACCCAGTGATCTCACTGCTAGGAATATATCTGAAGGAACCCAAAACACTAATTCAAAAGAACTTAAGCATCCCTATATTCATTGCAGTGTTATTTACAATCACCAAGATATGTAAGCAGCCCAAGTGTCCCATCAGTAGATGAGTGGTTAAAACAACTATGCAACATTTACACAATGGACTACTACTCGGCCTTAGAAAAAAAGAAAACTTTACCCTTTGTGACAGCATGTATGGACCTAGAGAACATTATGCTAAGTGAAACAAGCCAGTCAGAGAAAGACAAATACCATATAATTTCACTCATATGTAGAATCTAATGAACAAACTGAATTAACAAGGAAAATAGGGACACTCATAGATCGAGAGAGAGCAGGATGACAGCTAGTGGAGTGGGTTGGGTGAGGGGAGTGGAGGAACTGAGCACAAAGGGAGAAGGGCTCATGGACAATGGTGTAGTGATTGCTGGGGGCTGGGTAGTTCAAGAAGACTTAATAGTAATGGAAAAAAATACAATAAATGTTGAATTAAAAAAAAGAAAAGACAGAAGCCAGGATATAACCATTCTCACTGCTCATATATGAGACATTTTGAACATTGAAATAAATGATAGTAGCTGATTATAGCTTATTAAATAAAATAAAAATCTGTAGTCCCTGGCCGGATAGCTCAGTTGGTTAGAGCATTGTTCCTATACAACAAGGTTGCAATTTCGATTGCCTGTCAGGGCTCATACAGTAATCAACCAATGAATGCATAAGTAAGTGGAACAACAAAATCAATATTTCTTTCTCTGTCCCCTTCCCTCCCTCTGGCTCCTTTCCTTTCTCTAAAACCAATAAATAAAATACTTTTTAAATAAAAACCTCTTAAGTCCATACAATAAATAAATAAAAGAATAAAGTGAAAATTTTATGAAAACTACTTATATAGTTTCAAAGCACCTTCTCACAAAATACTTACTAATTACAAGGGAAAAAAGAGAAATTTTACCGTGAAGAAGCCTGTTAGACATGGCCTTAAATGATCAAAGTGAACACAGTTAAAACAGGACCATTTGAAATTATGCACTGCCTTATAGAATACAATAAGAAAAATATAACGTGTTTCTGTGATATTCCTGCTAAAGATGTATAACCTAAATTTAATCATAAGCCAAAACCATGTTAAAATATTCAAAAGTCGTGTATCTTCAAAACAGTCAAGATCATGATTTCAACTTTTACTTTAAGATACTAGAAAAAGAAGAGCAAATTCAACCCAAAATGAAGAAAGAGTTAAAAAGATCACAGCAGAAACCAAGTAAATTAAAAAAAATAGGGAAAATCAGTAAAATAAAAAAAAACTGTTTCTTAAGAAAATTGTTAAAATTGATAAACTTATAGCCAGATTGATCAGGGAAAAAAGAAAGAATACACATGACATCACCATAGATTTTACAGATACTAAAAGGATTATAGTGTTATAGTATGAACAATTTTATGTTAATAAATTTAACAACTTAGATAAACTGGGCAACTTACTTGAAGAACACAAATGATCAAAGCTCAGTTTTGCTGCAAAGGATGTTATTTGACATTTGAGTGAAACTTGAATGGGGCTTGAGGATTACATGAGAGTCATGTATTAACATTAATGGCCTGATTTAATGGAGATAATATTGTTCTTTAATAGAATGTTCTTGTTTTAAAGTATTTAGGAATGATGGGATATCAAGTAAATAATTTACTCTAAATCAATTTACTTGAAAATGTTCTTTGAACTTGCTGTTTGTTTGCTAAGTTTGTGATTTTCTTTTTTAAACTTCATTAATATTTGTGTGTTCCTTTATAACAGGCATGTATTTTAACAGGCAAGTTTTCTTTCTCTTACAGCGGAAAGGAAGCCTCCTTTATTTAATATGAATGCAATGAGTGCCTTATATCACATAGCCCAAAATGAATCCCCTACACTACAGTCTAACGAATGGTGAGTATGTCTAAGAGATATATTACTCAACATTGTATAAATTAAATGCTTTTTCGTAATGTTATCAAAATTACTTCATTTCAACTAGGTAAAATGTATTACTACCTGAAGTGATATTAAAATAGGTTTAGCCCTGGCTAGTGTGGCTCAGTGGACTGTGTTGGTTCTGCGAACCAAAACGTCACCAGTTTGATTTCCCATCAGGGAACATGCCTGGGTTGCAGGCCAGGTCCCTCGTTGGTGACATGTGAGAGGCAGCCGATCAACGCACATTGATGTTTCTCTCCCTCTCTTTCTCCCTCCCTTCCGTTTTCTAAAAGTAAATAAATAAAATCTTTTTTAAAAAGTACGTTTAGTCTTCTAACAATTGTATAATTAACCTATCATTGCTTTGGAGTATGTTAATTTTTTTTTGGCTTATTAAGAGACATTATCCTGGGTATTGGGTTGTGAAATTCTCTTAGTGAACCCGTGTTACATAAACTATTAGCAAAGATAAATAAAATAAAATAGGTTTATTTTACCTTTATATCATGTTTATCCTTTATTATGTCTGCTTTTCATAGCGTCAGTATCAGTGATGTCACATGCTTTCTACAAAAATTTATATTTTATATTTACCTTGGTTTTTTTTAGGAATATATATAACCCTGATTATATTGTAAATACCACAATTTAAACAATATTTTATAATTAAAATATGTACGTTGCCATACTTATAGTGATTTTTTTAGGAGAATTATTTTTTTTTATTTATATGGTATATCACATAGGTAAAATGACTTGATTTGTCAAATACTAGATAATTTATAACTTTATAATTTATAACTTATTCTATTAGTTATTATGTTATTTATTATTCAGAATGTCCTGGTGTTCTTTTTCCTCATGCTTCCTTGATTTGATAAAGAAATTTATGTAGAACAGATACACAGTTTTAGAAAATGAGAATTTTTATCAGAAATTTGTAATAAATTCTTCAGCTATATCTAGAATTCGAAAAATTTTAGGGGAAATTCTAGTAAATTTAGTAGATAATTTAAAATTCACAAGTAGATGCATAAATTAGCATTATTTTTTTTAAGATTACATAATGAAGGCACATTTAAAGGTCTTTGAGCCCTGGCTGGTATGACTCAGTGGATTGAGTTCTGGCCTGCGAACCAAAGGGTCTCTGGTTCGATTTCCAGTCAGGGCACATGCCTAGGTTGCAGGCCAGGTCCCCAGTATGGGGCGTGTGAGAGGCAACCACACATTGATGTTTCCCTCCCTCTTTTTCTCTCTCCCTTCCCCTTTGTCTAAAAAAAAATAAATAAATAAAGTCTTTTTTAAAAAATAAATAAAAGTCTTTGCTACTTATATGGAGATATATAGTAGGAATCTTTTGGCACGGAGTTTAGTATTATGGTACATACAAGTAATAAATATACTGAATACAGACTTTCTTTATACTATGACTGGGGATGCAAAAAAGATGTCTTACCACAAGGAACATAAAATGTTATTTGACTATTTAAGTCAGATATTGATGGAGTAATTATTACTTACTGTCTTGCTCACTGAATGCTTATCAAGAACACTCTAATAATATGTTGCAGACTTCTAATGTTTTAAAAAATATCTTCATTGGTTTTCTGGGTTTAATGGAAGTTCTATCCATTTATTCAGGGGCACCAAATATACTGGTATAAAATATTCTTCCTCCAAAGCTAATAGAGTGATGTTCTGAAACATGCTAGATAGAAGACAAACCAAGGAGCAGACAAGAGAGAAAACAAATTGGGAAGAATGTTATCTTAGATTTGAATGCAAAGAAGAAAAACATTGACTTCCCTAATTTTGCCTTAATTTAAAATGAGTTTATAATGTGATATTTAAATATTTAGAAGCAAGATTTTAAAATCTGTGCACAATTATCTTTGAAAAAAGGTAAAGTTTCACTCATTGCTTTAGATGGTTTACACAAACTTATACAAAATATATAGTGTATTGTGCTCAGCTTTTTTTAAAAAAAATAATTTCTTTTCCATACCCCTCCCACCTTTAGGCACATACCTTGATTTATGGATTTCTTTTTAAAGGAAATAGCAATATGTTCACTTGATACTTTCCTTTACAATAGGTCTGATTATTTTCGCAACTTTGTAGATTCATGTCTCCAGAAAATCCCTCAAGATCGCCCTACATCAGAGGAACTTTTAAAGGTTAGTTCTTCTCTTTTCTGCCCCTAAGAAGTGAAGGAACATGTTTTATTCCTCTTTGATTCTGAATCAGTATTAAGAATACTGTACTAGTTTTTACTAAAACAATAATTTTATATAATGTTCTCTCTTGGAACTTTTCTCAGATGCTAAATTTTTCAAAATTGATTAATTGATTTTACCATGGCTGAATAGAATATATAGTTCAATATTCAAAATAGGACCAGATGTCTAAATTGTTATATGTATAAGAAAAATATTTATGAGTTATGATTATAAAATTTAATTTATATGGCATAATGTTACATTTCAAAATTGGCAAAACATAGTACAACTTTGAATTTAATTTTTATATCTGTGATACTTTATATATTGATCTTTTCTATATTAAAATAATATGAAAGAGAAATAATGTGATATATGTATCTATTAAATACTGCTGGAAAAAAGAGATTTCAAAAGAAACTTAAAAATGGATATTCTCCAGAATGAAGCATAGGCAGATATGGCTGGCCTCTTCACACAACCATATCAAAATTACAACTAAAATATAGAATAGCCATCACTCAGAACCATCAGAAATTGAGTTGAATGGAAGTCTAACAACTATGGAATTGAAGAAACCATATCCACCCAGACTGGTAGGAGGGGTGCAGATGCAGAGGGTTGGTCCCACCCCTACGTGTGATGGATAAAATTTCAAGAAAGATATCTCAGGAGTGAGGAGTCCCAGCTTCACACCAACACCCCCAGCCCAGGGTTCCAGTGCCAGGAAGATCTGTCCCACAACTTCTGGCTGCAGCAACCAGTGGGGATTGAGTCAGTGGAAGAAACTGCTGGAGCCCCAAACAGTTCCTTTAAATGAACGCACACGTGGACTCGCCCATTCAGACTCACTTCCCCTGACCTTCAGCACCAGGGTGGCAACTTGAAGGGCACCACTGGCATACTAGGAAAGGCAGAAATGTCTGGCATCAGGGCTAACAGAGGCCATGGTCCCTTTTCTAACCCCCCACAGAGCCACAAAGCTATCAGGCTGGTGCCATATACAGACTCCACCAAACTTGGTAACACTGTTTGACCCACCTTGGAGATCCCCTAGAGACTCTGCTCCACCCAGCTTACAGGCTCACCCAAGCTGCTTTTCTATATGAATGGCTGGTCTTGGTTCAAGCTGCACAACTTCCTAAATCCTCTCAAACAGGCAATAGCTGTCTCAGTGAGCTCCAGTCCCAGCATTAGCAGTAGCCAGTCTAGATTGACAGCTTGGCTTTGCCTGTGAATCTCTAAACCCAGCACAAGTAGCAACCATTTGCAGATTGCTTTACTGTGCAGAAAGGGTAGCCCTGGGCAAAACACAGATGGGGGCTGACCTTGGCCTGCACCACCTGGGAAACCCCAGGGCCAGTGTACCCAGTGGACAGCAGACCACATGGGAGCACCAATACCTTGCCCCCTGCATAGCTGATTCTCCACAGAGTGTGGAGGTTGGTGATAAGTGGTCATAGCCATTCCTTGCAGCTGACCAGCCTGGGTAAATCCCTCCCGTTGATCTGCCAACAGCAACCAAGGCTCAACTACAAGAGAAGGGTGTATGTAGCCCACATGAAGAACATACCTCAAGTACCTAGCTTGGGTGATAAGGGAGCTTGTGACACTAGATCCTACAGAACACCTACTACATTAGGCCACACTACTAAGACACAGAGTTGGAACAGCTCTACCTAATACCTAGAACAAACACAGGGAGACTGTCAGCACCAGAGACAAAGAAACATGGCTCAAATGAACAGATCAAAACTCCAGAAAAAGAGCTAAATGAAATGGACATGAGCAATCTATCAGATGCAGAGTTCAAAACACTGGTTAGAAGGATACTCAAGAAACTTAGTAAAGACCTCAGCAGCATAAAAAAATCTAGTTAGAAACAAGGGATAGAGTAATTGAAATAAAGAACAATTTACAGGGAAACAACAGTAGAGTAGTTGAAGCCAAGAATCAAATCAATGATTTGGAACATAAGGAAGAAAACAAACAAACAAACAAAAACAGTCAAGAACAAAAAGGAAAAAAAAAGAATCCAAAAAAAAGGATAGTATAAGCAACCTCTGTGACAACTTCAAGAGGTCCAGAAAGAGAAGAGAATGAGCAAGAAATTTGAAATGTATTTCAAAAAATACTGTAAAAAAAACTTTCCTAATTTAGTGAATATAATAGACATGAAAGTCCAGGAAGCACAGAGAGTCCCAAACTAGATGGATGTAAAGAGGTGCACTCCAGGACACATCATAATTAAAATGTCAAACATTCAAGATGAAGAGAGAATCAAAAGCAGCAAGAGAAAAGCAGTTAGTTACCTGCAAGGGAGTTCCCATAAGGCTGTCAGCTGATTTCTCAAAAGAAACTGCAGACTGGAAGGGATTGGCAAGAAGTATTCAAAGTAATGAATAGCAGGGACCTACAGCCAAAGTTGCTCTACCCAGCAAAGCTATCATTTAGAATTGAAAGGCAGATAAAGAGCTTCGCAGACAAGAAAAAACTAAAGGAGTTCATCATCACCAAACCAGTATTATATGAAATGTGAAAGGGACTTATTTAAGACAAAGAAGAAAATCAAGTTACAGAATAGCCATGGGGATATAAAGTACAGTACAGGAAATGGAGTAGACAAACTCATGCATGACCCACGGACATGAACAATAGTGTGGCTATTGTCTGAGGGTGTTGGAGTGCTGGGTAGAGGGGAGCAAAAAGGAAAAAATCAGGACAACTGTAATAGCAAATAAAATTTTTTAAAAATGGATATTTTTGTTTCTTTTCTGGAAATAGATTTTTTTACTTAATGAAAATATTTAAAAATCATGTAAGTTCTAATAATTTTTGGTAGATTTGGTTGCCTAATTTAAACATGATTGATATATCTTTTATATTCTCAAAAAAAGTATTTCATTTGGAGGGTTACCATCTTATTAATAACAATAAGTATTGTTGAAATTTATATACCTTTTTATATATATTTTATTGATTATGCTATTACAGTTGTTGCATTTTTTTCCTCCCCTTTATTCCCTTCTGCCCTACATCCCCTCTCCCACCATCATCTCCCCACCTTAGTTCATGTCCATGGATCATACATATAAGTTCTTTGACTCCTCCATTTCCTATGCTATTCTTATCCTCCCCCTATCTGTTTTGTACCTAGTATTTATGCTTCTTATTCCCTGTACCTTTTCCCCCCATTCTCCTCCCTCCTCCTCCCCTCTGATCTCCATTTCTGTGATTCTGTTCCTGTTCTAGTTGTTTGCTTAGTTTGTTTTTGTTTTCTTTTTTTCTTTTCAGGTTCAGTGGTTGAAAGCTGTGAGTTTGTTGTCATTTTACTGTTCATAGCTTTTGATCTTTTTCTTAGATAAGTCCCTTTAACATTTCATATAATAAGGGCTTGGTGATGATGAACTCCTTTAACTTGACCTTATCTGGGAAGCACTTTATCTGCCCTTCCATTCTAAATGATAGCTTTGCTAGATAAAGTAATCTTGAATGTAGGTCCTTGTCTTTCATGACTTTGAATACTTCTTATATTATAGACAAAATCTATATAGAAAATTTTTGTAAAGAAATATACCATCACAGGGATATAAAGTACAGCATAGGGAATGTAATCAATAATATTGTAGTAACTGAATGGTACCAAGTTGGTACTAGAATTATTAGAGGGATCACTTTGTAAATTATACAGATATCTAACCATTATGTTGTACATCTGAAACTAATATAATATTGAGTGTCAACTGTAATTTTAAAAAGAAAGAAAAGACAAGAAAATAGAAAATAAATACACCAAAATGTAACAGTGGTAATTGTAATGGTGGAATTGTTCTTTCTACTTTCCTGTATTTGATAGGTTAACCTTCATTAAATGTTAGTGGTAAAAATCACTAATAATATGAAGGCTTAATTAACTGCTAGTGTTCCATGAAATGTTTCTTATGCAACATATAAAGGAGTGCATAATACCCAAGTTTATGTAGTATAAAACCACCACCAGTAAATATATTCTTTTGAAACCTAACTCAGAACCAAACATGTCTTCTTATCTATGAAATCAGCAGTTCTATAATATGTAAACCTTTATGTAACCTTATTTAGGGCCCTAATTTAAAAATTGAGCTTACACTCTCTCCCTCCCAGGAGCATACACTCATTTTTCCCTTCCCCTTCTCCCTCTTTTCCCCCCACAGGCATGCATCTCCTAAACTCTTAGGGGACCCCAAGAGACTTGCAACCAGGGAGCAATGGGCGGCAGCAGCAGCTCCTCAAGCTAACTCCCTGATCCTATCCCCAAGGTCCCCTTTATTCTGGCCTCTTAGTGAACCAAAACCTCCCAGCCTAGGCTCATTTCCCCACCCAGTCCCTCTCCTGTTGCGTCTTCTGTCCTAGGCCCTTAATTGTTTCACTGTCCCCAGCTTAAAAAAATAATAATAATAATTGAACTTAATTGTTAGTGTTTATTTAGAGCTTTTGATTATTTTAACTCAGAATTTTCAGTTTGCCGACAAAGGTATCATGTTTAAAGTTTTTATAAAATGCACAGAGGTAGTTATATAGGCATAGAGTCTTTATGTGTAAATGACAACTTTGTAAATATAAGAAGTCAGAAGTATAACAGAATTAGATAGCTATAAAAAATTATATGCATTGTTTATCATAATTATTTAGGATGGTAATTCTAGGATCTGAGAAAGGGTACGTTCGTACCAATTGAAAAAATACATAGGTTTCAACCTGACTTTTACCTTCTCTTATCCAGCACATGTTTGTTCTTCGGGAGCGTCCTGAAACAGTGTTAATAGATCTCATTCAAAGGACAAAAGATGCAGTAAGAGAGCTAGACAATCTGCAGTATCGAAAGATGAAGAAACTCCTTTTCCAGGAGGCACATAATGGACCAGCAGTGGAAGCACAGGAAGAAGAAGAGGTAATAACTTAGAAGTTACTCAAATATTGAGCTCTCTTTATTAGCTTCTTTCCTTATACAGTTTGTCTTGCCATGAATTGTTTAGATCAGTGGTTCCTAAATTGTGTTTTTCTTTAACATGGGTCATGTAAGATCCCGGGGGGAGAAAAGATTTTGCATTATTTAAACCCAGCCCTTTTGTAGTGTACATTGGCATAGTAAAGTTCTACGAAGTCATTTATTAAAGAAACATGTTCACCGTTATTTAATCTAGTTCCTTTTAAAGCTCTTGGCCGCAGACCCCGTGTGTGTGTGTGTGTGTGTGTGTGTGTGTGTGTGTGAGAGAGAGAGAGAGAGAGAGAGAGAGAGAGAGAGAGAGAGAGAGAGAGAGAGGCAGGGAGGGAGGGAGAGGGAGAGATTCTTCAGTTCCACAGGACACACTACTTTTGGAAGGATTTGAAGTTATAAACTCTGGAAGTTGCTATTACTCATTCAGATCTCATTACAAAGTTAGCAGGCATTCTCCTCTGTCACCAGGGACCCTTTGTTCTTTTCAGTTCTGCACAATTCCATTTACACAGTTCTAAAATATTCATTTTACAGATTAGTAAACTAAGGCTCAGAATGGTTAACCAACTCACCTCAGGTAGACGCATGTGGGTTCAAATTCATCACTCACTCTTAAGGCCACATTCTTTCCATGTTGCTTTTTAGGGGAAATGGAAATATAAATTCACAATTAAAATGCTAGAGAACTTCCTTACAGGGAAATATATAGCTTATTTGTAGAGCTATCACTCTAAATATTTTCAGTTTTCTTTTTTGCTTCTGTCAGAATTCCAAAGCTTTGATTCTTTTGTATTGCTTTCCAGTGAAAGGGATCACTTTGAATTCTGAAACCAGAAGCTTTTTTTTTTTTTTAATAGCTCCACATAATTAATGAATTGTAAAATACAGTACTTTCTTACTACAGTTTTGGGTTTTGTGTGTATTTTATTTTATTCTTATAATAATCATTAGAAAATTGTTGGGCTATTTTAAATATATGAAATACTTTTAGCAAAGTTGTGAAATTAATAAAATTATAATGTAGTTAAATCTGTAGTTCTAATGTAGTGTCTCTGATAGGCTAGTGATCTAAGTTCATATATTTATGGGGTGTGTGTGTGAGTGTGAGTACAGTGAGGTACATACCATGTGTCTATATATTAATTTTGCATATCTTACAGGATTTTGATATGTAAGATTACTATAATGTTGGTGCCCAAATACCATTTCTTGCCTGGTTACTTCAGAATAGCAGTCTCATGATTATGATTAAATATATAAGCAAAATTTAATTTTCAATTTACACAAAAATAGATAGGAATTAATGTTAATTATTTGGTGATAGAGGGTGGGCTAGAGACTATGAGGAAAAAAATATACTTATAAAAGGCTTCAGTAAAAAGTAACTAAAAGGGGTTGTTTACAGTATTTTTAAAAAGGTTGGGGTTTGTTTTAACCTTGGGAATCATTGAGAAATGAGCAGAATTTCTATAGATAGCCCATGAGGTATGTGGTAAAAATGGATTTCAAAAATTGCTACACATTGGAAGTAACCCAGAATTGATGACCATACTTTTTTGCATGGTTGAGTTTTGTGGGTTTTTTAAAGATTTTATTTATTTATTTTTAGAGAGGAGAAGGGAGGGAGAGAAACATCAATGTGTGGTTGCTTCTCAAGCACCCTCTACTGGGGATCTGGCCCACAATCCAGGCGTGTGCCTAGACTGGGAATTGAACTGGCGACCCTTTGGTTTGCAAACTGGTGCTCAATCCACTGAGCTACACCAGCCAGGCCTGGCATGGTTGGGTTTTTGTTATTTACTTATTGGTCATTTTTATTTACTGTCAAGTAACAGTTGGTAAACTTCATGGTCTTGACAAATAAAGGAATTTCTCATGATAGACCTGACTTTCTAAAGACTGTGTGCTAAGCAGTGTGCTAGGTACTTGTACTCAATAATTAAAAGAAATACAGATATTTGTACCTAATATTCTTTTCCCTTAGGAACAAGATCACGGTGTTGGACGGACAGGAACAGTGAATAGTGTTGGAAGTAATCAGTCTATTCCCAGTATGTCCATTAGTGCCAGTAGCCAAAGCAGTAGTGTTAACAGTCTTCCAGATGCCTCAGATGACAAGAGTGAGCTAGACATGATGGAGGGAGATCACACAGTGATGTCTAATAGTTCTGTCATCCACTTAAAACCTGTGAGTATTTGGGTTTCAGTGAAAAATTTGAACTTTGGTAAATAATTTTCTTTATTTGATTAGTTTAAGAGATTTTGTTGTTGTCGTTTGGGGTTGTGTTTTGTTTTTGTTTTTGATGTTTCAGAAGTTTGGAACAATAGTCTTGTTAATTCCCATTCAAGGTCTGCATTTGGGAAACTAATGTTTTGAGAATACCAAAAGAATATTTTTAAAATCTTAGAAGAAAGAAATACAGAAATACAACATGTATTATTTGAAGTTACTTAGATGGAAAATAAAGTAATTTAAAGTAGTAAGTATACACATGGAATTAATGATACTGGTTGCCTTCTGGGAGGAAGAGAAATAGTTCGAATGATCAAAAGTAGCTTTTCATTATCCATGTTTACATCTTTAAAACAGTGTAGTTGCAGAAAATTCTAAATTCTGGGTATCACAAATAAGGGTGTTTGCTACATTATTTGCATTTTCAGTCCATAATTTTAAATTTTCTTGCAAATATTTGAAGGTCAGTAGCTCCTTTTAACAATTAATAGGAATGCTTCTTTTTTCACTTCACAGCTTGTGGTAGGTATTACCTAAAACATTAGTAGGCATATTAGCTAAAAAGTGGAACCAACATAATTGTCCAGCAGCAAGTGAATGGATAAACAAAATGTGGTATATACTTCTAATGGACTATTATTCAGCTACGAAAAAGAATGAAATTCTGATACATGCCACATCCAGTGAACCTTGAAAACTCTGCCAGGTGATATAAACCAGATGCAAAAAGACAAATATTGTATAATTCCACTTATGTGAAATATCTAGAATAGGCAAATTGAAAGCGATAGAAAATAGATTAGAGGTTACCAGGGACTGAATAGAGGAGGAAATGGAGGATTTTTGTTAATGGATACAGAGTTTCCAATTGGGTAATAAAAAAGTTTTGGATATAGTAGCAATGATTGCACAACCTTAAGAATGTAATTAATGCCACTGAACTGTATACTCAAAAACAGGTAAAATGGAAAATTTTTTAAAGTTTTTAAAAATTTTAGAAAGTTATGAAGAATTATATAGTGGCAGTATTATTCAGAACAAAATCACATTTAATTTTTATGTTCTTAACAATATAATCAGTGATGTAAAAGATTAATCCTACAATTAGTTGGTTGCTATTTCAGTTGACTTCTCCTTAGCTAATGAAGCAAGGTAATATATAAGGAAAGACATCAATTTACAACTACTTTTCTATTACTTATTTTGGACATATGACAGAAGTAATAATAAAGATATTTTTAAGCTGTATTATTGCTTCTAAAACCCAAGAACATTATAGTAATTAATTTTATTACTGCTGTTTAAAATACTGGCTGCATGTTTCATTTTCTTTATTTTCAATTTATATTAAAACTTTGCAATTTTGCATATAATGAGTAGGATACAAATATAGCCTAATACATTTCCTTATCATGAATCTGTGTGCTGTTTCATATGCTGAAGAAATAGTGTCCCCTGATTCTTATTATATTGAAAATGAAATATCAGCATTTCCAAATTTTGCTTGTTTTTGCTTTTAAAATTATGTTTTTTGAGATTTGTTGATCAAGTTGTCTTTAAACTAATCTTCTTGAAAGTTCAAACAAACTCTGTTCACCTCTGATAGTGTCGTCTCTTTCTTTGTCTAGGAGGAAGAAAATTACAGAGAAGAAGGAGATCCTAGAACAAGAGCATCAGATCCACAGTCTCCCCCACAAGTATCTCGTCATAAATCACACTATCGTAATCGAGAACACTTCGCTACTATACGGACAGCATCACTGGTAGGTACTTCCCCTGAATTAGAAGTATATTTTTCATGTTGGACCTTGGTACCTATACTCAAATATAACTTTTTTTTGTATTTGAGGCTTATTTTGCAAAAAATTCATTCAATTTTTCAGTGCCTATTATGAGGAAGGTTATACAAAGCACTCAGAGAAATTAATATTATTTTCAAAACTTATACATAAATGACTAATATGTTAGAACATATTAAATGCTTAAGAAAACTACAGGATACTAAGTAGAAATTCAAATTACTTTAAATTCAAGGCATAAAGGAAGTATTTATAAAATAAATTGTTTGAGCCTTAAATAATTAGTTCTAGGCTCAGGGGATAGTAGAAATGTTATTTCCACATAAGAATTAACAATAGGCCCTGACTGCTGTAACTCAGTAGGTTGGGTGTCATCCTTCAGACTAAAGAATGGTGGGTTGATTCCCCATTGGGGTGTGTGCATGGGTTGCAGGTCGTGTATGGGTTGGAGGCATGAGAGAGGCAGTCAGTTGTTTCTCTCCCTCTTTTTCTCCCTCTCTCTAAAAATAAATACTTGTTTTTAAAACCTTAAAAAAAAAAAAAAACCATTAACAGAAGTACTGAGGCTAACCAGAATTCAGGGGAATGTTTGGGAAATATCAGTTGATCTGATTTGACATGCTCAAAATACATTTCTTCTGATTTCCCAAATAACAATAAAAAATGAATTATTTGTTCATTATAGGAACATTTATTTATTTATTTAGACCAAATGATTATTACGTTTTTATTCAGGGTTTAAGGCATTTTGCTTATTTTTAACTATACTTTTCTCTTAATTGGTTGTAGCCTTTATTTATTTATTTATTTTTTAATTTCCTTATTGTATTTATCAGGTTGACACTGGTTAACAAAATTATACAGGTTTCAGATGCACAATTCTACAACACATCTCTACACTGTATTGTGGGTACCACCCCAAGTTAGGTTTCTTTCCATAAGCATTTATCCCCCCATGCCCTCTTGCACCTCCCTCACCTCTCCACCAACCTCTTGCCCACCGCAATCACCACACTGTTCATCAAGGCCATGAGGGGTTTCTTATTTGTTTGTTGGTTTTTTTGTGCTTAATCCCCCACCATCCCCGATAGCTGTCAGCCTGCGTTCGTTCTATCTATGAGTCTCTCTCCATTTTGCTTGTTAATTCATTTTGTTCATTAGATTCCACATATGAGTGAAATCATATAGTACTTATCTTTCTGTGACTGACTTATTTCATGTAGCATAGTGCTCTAGATTCATCCATGTTGTTGCAAAGGGTAGGATTTCCTTTTTTTTTTTTTTTGAATATAACCAAGTAGTATTCCATTGTATAAATGTTCCATGCTTTTCTCTATCCACTCATCTACTGTTGGACACCCAGGCTTGCTTGCTTTCTTTCTTTTTTCTTTTAAGATTTTTATTTATTTATTTTTTTATTTATTTATTTTTAAAGAAAGGGGAAGAGGGGAAGAGTCAGCCAAACATCAATGCGTGGCTGCCTCTCGTGCACCCTCTACTGGGGACCTGGCCAGCAACCCAGGCATATGCCCTGGCTGGGAAATCAAACCAGCAACCTTTTGGTTCACAGGTCAGCACTCAATCCACTGAGCCACACCTGCCAGGATGTAGTTGGTCTTTTTTAATAGAATACTGATAATCCTGATCAGTCAGATAAGTAGAACCAAATCATAATAAAGGATTCTAAGGATAGAAAGAAATTATATTAAGATATTATAGGAAAAATAGGCTATTAGAACATGTGACAGAACAAAAAAAGGTATGGGAGTTATCTGAATTACATACGCATATTTTGTAAATCCCATTCTGTGACCCTTGAATCTGTATTATATGTGGGATCAGGAACACCATCTCTGGGACTTTCAGCCAAGATGGAGACACAGGTAGACACACTTTGCCTCCTCGCACAACCAAAGGAAGGACAACAACAAATTTAAAAAAACAAAAACAGAACTGCCAGAAAATCAAACTGTATGGAAGTTTGAAAACCAAGGATTTAAAGAACAGACATTCACCCAGACCGGTAGGAGGGGCGGAGACAGGAAGCCACTCAGCAAGGCAGAGACTGGAGGACCAGGCAGGTGAGGTGGCAGCTGGCAGACCGGGCAGTCCCACATTTGAATGCAGATAAACCAGGAGGAACAGCTACGGAGTGAGACAGATTGCACAACTCAGGGTTCCAGTGAGGGAAAAAAAAGACTCAAAATCTCTGGCTGTGAGAAATTCCCAGATTCACAGAAATGTTCGTTGGAGAGACCCACAGGATCCTAGAACATACAAAACCCACCCACCCTGTAATCAGCACCAGAAGGGCCTGTGGGTAGTGGGGAAAGTTACTGAAAGCTGGCTGAGAGCCAAGCAAGGGGCATTGTTCCTTCTCTGATCCCTCCCCCACACACAGTGTCACAACGCAGTGACGTGGGTTGCCCCGCTCTGCCGAATACCTAAGGCTCTGCCTCTTCCAGCATAACAGGCATGCTGAGGCAAAGAGATATGGCCTAAATGAAAGAACAGATCAAAGCTCCAAAAATAGAACTAAACGATGAAGAGATAGCCAACCTATTGGATACAGAGTTCAAAACACTGGCAATCTGGATGCTCATGGAAATGGTTGAGTATGGTCGCAAAGTGGAGGAAAAAGTGGAGGCTATGCAAAGTGAAATACAGAAAAATATACAGGGAACCAACAGTGAAGGGAAGGAAACTGGGACTCAAATCAATGATTCAGAGCAGAAAGAAAAGATAAACATTTAACCAGAACAGAATGAAGAAACAAGGATTCCAAAAAATGAGAAGCTTAGGAACTGCTGGGATAATTTTAAACGTTCCAGCATCCGAATCATATGGGTGCCAGAAGGAGAAAAGGAAGAGTAAGAAATTGAAAACTTATTTGAAAAAATAATGAAGGAGAGTTTCCCCAGTCTGACCAAGGAAATAAGACTTCCAAGAGATCCAGGAAGCTCAGAGAGTCCTAAAGAAGTTGGATCCAGGGAAGTACACACCAAGTTACATCATAATTACATTACTCAAGAGTAAAGATAAGGAGAGAATCTTAAAAGCAGCAAGAGGAAAGGAGACGGTTACCTACAAAGGAATTCCCAGAGGATTGTTAGTTGATTTCTCAAAAGAAACCTTGCAGGCAAGAAGAGGCTGGTGAGAAGTATTCAAAGTGATGAAAGACAAGGACCTACATCCAAGATTACTCTATCCAGCAAAGCTATCGTTTAGAATGGAAGGGCAGATAAAGTGCTTCCCAGGTCAGGTCAAGTCAAAGGAGTTCATCATCACCAAGTCCTTATTATATGAAATGTTAAAGGGACTTATCTCTAAGAACAAGAAGAAGATCAAAAACTATGAACTGTAAAATGACAACAGACTCACAACTATCAACAGTTGAACCTAAAAAAAAACCCATAAACCAAGTAAACAACTAGAATAGGAACAGAATCACAGAAATGGAGATCAGAGGGAAAAGGGGAGGGGGAGAATGGGGGAAATGGTACAGGGAGTAAGAAGCATAAATAGTAGGTACAAAATAGATAGGGGGAAGCTAAGAATAGTATAGAAAATGGAGAAACCAAAGAACTTATATGTCCAGCCCATGGACATGAACCAAGGAGGGTGGGGAATGCTGGTGGGGGCAGTGCAGGGTGGAGGGAAATAAAGGAGAGGAAATAAATGGGACAACTGTAATAGCATAATCAATAAAATATATTAAAAAAACAAAACAAAACACCATCTCCCATCATAATTCAAGTCATTCCTACTACCCCGCAACATCCAAATAACTCTTTGAACAGAGCAGGTGGCAAAGTTGCTTAATTTTTTCATGACTATTTTAATAAATACCTAGAGTGGGGACAGTTTGTGGGGAAACATCTTTGTGACTTGGCACATATTAAGTGTTTCTCAAGCAAGTCTTCAGTCCCAAAATATGGCTCCCTCGAATTAATTAAGAAAGCTTAAGTTACAGATTTAGAAAACTTAAGATTCATATCCTTAAGCTTAATGATTCCATTTATTTCAAAAAAAATTCAGAGTATATAGATTTGTGTAGAAAGATAAGCATAGCTATATTATTCATTTACCATATGCTGTAATTCAGTCTTTCACCTTTTTTTAATATAATAAAATGCACAGATCTTAGATATTCATTCAGTTTGAAGTGTTTTTACAATAGTACATACCTCTGTTAACCATCACCTACAGAAACAAGATGTGTAAAATTGCTTATAATCCCAGAAAGTTCCCTTTATATCCCTCTTTAGTCAGTTCCCCATTTTTATGACTGCCACTTTCAGTTTCATCACTATTGTTAGGTTTAACTTTTTGGATTTTATGTAAATAGAATCACAGAATTTACTCCTGTGTTGACCTTATTTTACTTAGCTTAATGTTTTTGAGATTCATCTGTGTTGTTGTATTCAGTCTTTTTTATTACTGTAGATAGTTTTCCATTGTATGGATATACTCCTGTTTTTTTATTCATTCCTTCTGTTGGTGAGAATTTGGTTTGACTCTCATTTTGAGCTATTACACGTAGGTTGCAAGAAATACTCTTGCACAAGTCTTTATGTGAATGTGATGTTTTAATTTCTTTTTGCTAAATATCTCATGGTAAAATTGCAGGCTCATAAGGCATATGCATGTTTTCCTTTATAAGAAACTGTCAAACAGTTTTCCAAAATGGTTGTACCATTTGACATGTCCTTTAGCAGTGTATAAATAAGAGTACCAACGAGTTGGTTCACATCCTCTTCAGCATTTGGCGTTGTCAGTCTTTTTTATTTTCAGCATTCTAATGAGTGTCAAATGGAATCTCATAGTGGATTTTTTGTTTTCCTTTTTCACTTCTCTATGACATCACCAAAATCAGCCTTTCATATGTTTATTGTCAGTTCATGTACCTTCTTTAGTGAAGTATCTCTCAAGTCTTTTGCCTGATTTCTTCTTCAGATGCTCATCCTTTTAATATTGATTTGTAGGAATTGTTTATATAGTCTGGATACAAGTATTATATCTCATTTTTTTTTGTTTAGTTTTAAAATCCAGTTTAAACAACCCAATTAAAAATGGATAAAAGAGTTGAACAGACATTTATCCAAAGAAGATACACAGATGTCTAACAAGCACATGAAAAGATGCTCAGTCTCATTTTTCATTAGGGAAATGCAAATCAAAACTTCAATGAGGTACCTCCTCATACCAGTAGAATGGCTACTTAGAAAAAACCAAAACAAAATAACAAGTGTTGGAGGACATACAGAGAAATTGGAATTCCTGTATACTGCTGGCAGGAAGGTAAAATGGTTTGGCTGATGTGGAAATAGTTGATTGTTCTTCAAAAAGTTAAACATAGAATTAATTACCACATGACCCAGCAGTTCTATTCCAAAGTATATACCCTAAAGAATTCAAGATAGATATTCAAACAAGTGCATGTACACAGTATTCATAGTAGCATTATTCACAATAGCCAAAAGGTGGAAACAACACAAATATTCACAACACATGAATGGATAAACAAATCATGGTATATTCATATAATGGAATATTATTAAGCTATAAAAAGGAATGAAGTACTGATACATGTTATACAACATGGGTGAACCTTGAAAACATGCTGAATGAAAGAAACCAGGCACAAAAGATCATATATATGATTTTATTTATATGAAATATCCAGAATAGGTAAATCCATAGAGACAGAAAACAGATAGGTGGTTACCAGAAAGGAAGAATAGGGAGCAACGGCATAATAGACAATGGGTTTCTTCTGAGGTGGTAAAAATATTTTATAACTAGATAGAGGTGGTGATTGCATAAAATTATGAATGTACTAAATGCTGCTGAGTTGTTCACTTTAAAATGACTAGTGTTACATTATGTGAATTTTACCTCAATGAAAAATCTAGTTAATACTTTTTTCCCTTTATACTTGGTGCTTTTCGTGTACCCAAGAAGTATTTGCCGACCCAGAAGTCATGACGATATTCTGTGTTTTCTTCTGCTTTATGATTCTGGGTTTTATATTTAGGTTAAATAATTCTTTTCAAATTAATTTTTTCATGTGGAGTGATAAAGGAGTCAGTGTTTTTGTTTTGTTTTGTTTTTCAATGCAGAGAATCAGTTATTTTAGCAAGATTTGTTTAAAAATGCTTTTCTTTCCTCTTTGAATTAACTTGGCTTTTTGGTAGAAATCAACTGATTGAATATGTGTGGGTATGTTTGTAGATTTATTCTGTTCCTTTCATCTATTCAATCTATAAGGATAGGTGAAAACCACACTATTTTGATTAGTGAAGTGTACCTCTTCCAGATTGTTTCCCCCTCAAGATTATTTTGACTTTTCTAGGTCCTTTACATTCCCATATAAATTTTAGAACCAGCTTGTCTGTTTGTTCAGAAGACCTGCTGGAACTTTAACTGGAAACTGCTGGCTGGGATATCTTGTATTAATTGCCTACTTAGCTAATAGTAGAGTGGTATAACATACTTTTAAAGACAAATGCTTTGTTTTATTTTATTCTTCTAGGTTACAAGACAAATGCAAGAACATGAGCAAGACTCTGAGCTTAGAGAACAGATGTCTGGCTATAAGAGAATGAGGCGGCAACATCAAAAACAGCTGATGACTCTGGAAAATAAGCTGAAGGCTGAGATGGATGAACATCGCCTCAGATTAGACAAAGATCTTGAAACTCAACGTAACAATTTTGCTGCAGAAATGGAGAAGCTTATCAAGAAACATCAGGCTGCTATGGAAAAAGAGGTGGCTGATTCAGTATTATTATTTATTCTAGCTTTTGATCACCTCAGAACTGACCAAGGTAGCATTTTGATGTTAAGGTATCTGTTGCCCAGAACAAAGCAAACCAATTGGGGAAAGGGAGAAATATTTATATAATGTGTATAATATTAAGTACTGAATCTGGGAACCAATGAAGATGGGATCACTTCCTGACATTTGATAGTTTTATAGTGTCACAGTGGTAAGTCCTTCAATATTCTAGGTCTTAGATACCCTGGTTATTGACTTTGATAAATCACCCATCAGTAGGAGATAGTGGTCTCAAAAAAATCATTCATGATTCTCTCCTCTGTATTTTTATTTTTTAAACATTTAAAATTTATAGCAGGATTTTTATGTCAGAATAGTTGAAGATTATTATAATACATAGGGAACTTGTTAGAAGTTATAAATTAAGATAAAGATTTAGTCCATTTGTTTATTTATAAATATCATTCTACTGTATAGTAATGGTATATTTTTAAGGAGTCTTGTCATGTGAAACTTTTTCTTTCTGTTTTAGTGTCCCATCTGTTTCCTTTTATTTTGAGAGTCACATTTTTCAAGTAAAATATAAACTTCTCAGTAAATTCACACAAAATCATCAAATATATCTGGCTAGTCCACACTGAGGCATTATCATAATTACCCTGTTCACCTTTTCCCTCCAAAAAAGAACCACTCTCTCACAAGAGTAGAGAGGTTAGCAAAATAATTTATGGTATAAATAAATAGTTGATTTTAAAATAATTTGATGAAAGAATATACAGATATTTAGAATTCTTTTGGGCTTTGGGTATTGTCTTTAATAACTTGAGAAGAGGTAGCAACTAACATACTGCCCTGGCCCAGTAGCTCAGTTACTTAGAGCACCATCCCGATGCCCCAGGGTTGTGGGTTCAATCCCGTCAGGGCACATGGAAGAATCAACCAGTGAATGCATGAATGAGTGAACAAGAAGTGATGTGTGTGTGTCTCTCTTGAATCAATAAACAAACTTTTTTTTTTTAAATAACATATTTAGGAAAACAGTTAATGAAACAAAATGTGCAATATGATTACAGATTTGATTTAGGTACATAGATGCATGAAGAAATTAGGAAGGGTACACACTGGAATGTTTATATTGGTTATTTCTGGGTGCTAATAAAATCATGTAAGATTTTTCTTCTTAGTGTTTTTATTTCCTAAATATTCTACAATGGGTATGTATTGCCTATATAATCAGAAGTAAAACAATTATGAGATATATATATGTATATATATAATATTTAACATTTTCATATTATTTAATATATAAATTGATCAGTTTCATTTGAAGATGATTATATTATTTAATATACAAGTAAATCTAGATAAAAGGTCATGATTTAGTTACATTTTTAGATAAATTTATATTTGTTTTGTTTCTATATGGAGAGGGCATACTCCTGTTAAATGAAAATAAAAAGTGAAAACTTGACTCTTAAAAGATCAGTATTTTAAAAGTGAGTTTTATTTTACTGATTCTCTAAAAATTCATATAATAAAAGATCTGAGTAGTACTTATTTATAATTATTTGGGAATTTTTATTTTGGTAATGTTTATACTGTTATGTTCTTGGGGGAACAAAGGTATCCTTGGTGATGTATATTAAACTGCTACTTTGAGTCTACTAACCTAATTTGATCCACTTTTAAAATTTCTTATAGGCTAAAGTGATGGCCAATGAAGAGAAAAAATTCCAGCAACATATTCAGGCCCAACAGAAGAAAGAACTGAATAGCTTTTTGGAGTCCCAGAAAAGAGAATATAAACTTCGAAAAGAACAGCTTAAGGAGGTACTTATTTTATAAAAATTTTCAAGCCAGTTGTCTGATTATTAATAATATCCAATGTTAATCAACTTATAGAATCATTAGGATAAATTTTTCTTTTAGTTTTTTTTCTTCAATTACAGTTGACTAATATTATATTAGTTTCAGGTATAGAGCATAGTGGTTAGACATTTAAGTACCTTATGAAGTGATCTCCTCAGTAAATCTAGTACTCACCTGGCACCATATCTAGTTATTAAAATATTATTAACTATATTCCCTATGCAGGATAAATTTTTCTTTTGTTGTTTGTGGTCACTATGTGTATATTAGTTTGAATGAAGACATTGATTGTAATCAGTTATTTGTCAGTGGACTAAGAATCCTCAGTTGAGTAGGATCTAAAAAGAATGATCTGAAAATATAAATTATTTTACTTCCAATAGCTTTTCTATCCACTTATTAGGTTACTGATTCACTAGAAATAAAAATATTTGATATGTAAAAAAAGTCACACGTTTTCTTTAAAAGTAAACCATATCTTCTTTATTCTTTCTTTGGCACAGAAGATTACCATAATTTATTCTTCTTCCGATTTTAACATAGAGTAAGAAAAAGGGCTGATTTAATTATCACATTTTCTTTAATAAGAGAGCATGTTGATCACTTCTTTATGGCCACATGATTTCATATTTATTTGCCCTTTCTGAGCTACTTTTTTGAACTTCTTTTAAAAGCAGATGTAATCTAACTTTGAAAAGCCTTAATTGTCCCAAGGCAATTTCTGAAAGAGGATAATTACTCAGGATAGTGTTCAGGACAGAAAAATGATATGTCTCAATTTATAACCCCCTCTTACAGACTGATTGAAATTTTTAGCTCATGTAATCAATTACTAGCACAATTAATTAATTGATCTTGATAAAATAACTGTAGTCTTTTTGATATTAATGCTTTTGTGTGTGTAGAAATTTGCTTTATAATCACATATATAGGTCTTATTATGTACATATTGGTGACACAAAGATTTGCCGCATATACCCTGCCAAGTGAACTTTGACAAGATTTAGAGTGTCTAGCCTACAACATCTTCCCATGACTATCAAACAGAAGCCAAACTCTATACTGGAACATTGGGTTTGAAAAGATTGTAAATAGGGTTCACAACTTTAATAAATATCCAACAAAATGTAGGGAGTGTTTTTGTTGTTGTTTTGTTTTGTTTTGAGTCCTGGTTTCCTTCCCTTCACTGTTGGTTCCCTGTATATTTTTCTTTATTTCACTTTGTGTAGCCTTCACTTCTTCCTTTATTTTGCAACTGTACTCAATCATTTCTGTGAGCATCCTGATTACCAGTGTTTTGAACTGTGCATCTGATAGGTTGGCTCTCTCCTTATTGCTTAGTTCTTTTTCTGGAGTTTTGATCTGTTCTTTCATTTGGGCCATATTTCTTTGTCTTGGCACACCTGTTATGTTGAAAGGGGTGTAGCCTTAGGTATTCGCCAGGGTGGGGCAGCCCACTTGTGGTGCTGTATGTGGGGGAGCGATCAGAGAGGGAATAATGCCACTTGCTTGGCTCTTGCCCCACTTTCAGTCACTTCCCAAAATATAGTTCTACAGTTTTGCTTCCCTAGGAAATGAAATTTTAGTTTTATGGGTACATTGGTTTAGATAATTCTTTAACAATATAACTTACAGTCCTACTAATAAATTCATTTTGTTTAGGAGGTCAGATTTGTGTATGTTTACTTGGAATAATACCTCTCTGTTTAGAAGAAGGGACAAAGAATTACGGTAGGGAAGTTCCCTGAGAGATTTTTAAAAACTACCCAGGTAATTCCATATGTATATATCTATGTTATCTCTCTCTCCCCGCAGTGTACATACACATATATCCGTACACTGAGAGCTACTAATTTATGTGCTTTTTATTTTTATGTTTGACTATCTTATGAACTAAAGTTATATTGAGATAAAATATCGTAGATCTTTTACATTTTATTAAATCTGAAGGATAAAAATAAAGTTATAAAGAATTGGTCTCTTTTTTGAATGAGAGGGAAAAGATCATGAGGTTTAGTAGTCTCTGAAAAATCATTTTATGCCTAGAAAGATGGTTGATTTATCATTTATATTCCTCACCATGGTGATGCTTTTTAGGTTGAAAATATACTAGTATTAATTAGCATTCTAGGGTTTGCTTCATTCAGTATATTGTCAGTGCTCTCATCTTGTCCAATAAAATGCATTTTCATTTAGATAGTTTGTGAGATAATTTTAAAATGCTGTAGAAAAACAATGTTTTTATTTGTTCAGTGATTTTTGTGTAAGATTTTATTTATTTATTTTTAGACAGAGAGGGAGAGAAACATCAGTGTATGGTGGCCTCTCACACACCCCCTACTGGGGACCTGGCTTGCAACCCGGGCATGTGCCCTGACTGGGAATCGAACCAGTGACCCTTTGGTTCACAGGCCGGCACTCAGTCCAATACTCAGTCCATGATCCACACTAGCCAAGGCTGTTCAGTGGTTATTAATGCTGAATGTTAAATACCATTCATAAAGAGAATCTCTATTATCCCATGCTTTTATTGATTTTCTGTTTAATTACCAATTATATTGAGTCCATCTGTAATTTTGCCAAAAACTTAATATTTAATATTTAGACTGTCAAAAGCCAAGAAGTGAAGCATAACTACATTCTAACACTAATTTTAATTAACATATGATTTTTACCTGAAAGCACTCCTTCTGTCTTAGGAAGGATCTAAAGAAACGTGTGTTTTACTTCATTTACCAGTTATTTTGTGCTTTTTGAAGCTAGATACCATTATAAATGTAGCTGTGCAAAGTTAAAAGGATATGCATGCTTTCTAGTGTACATTTCTCTTTTCTTGTCCTACTTCATGGGTAACTCAAGAAAAAGAAAAATATGGCCTACCTCCTTAAGGTCATTGCCTTGCCTGAGCATCAGAGAGGACGTAGATCAAATACTTTTATTTAAATTTACCAGATACCAAATGATAAATTTACCATTTACCAAATGGTAAATGTAGTTAATTTTTATGTATTTTTAACTTAGTTGTTTTTTATGTTGTTAGGAACTGAATGAAAACCAAAGCACTCCAAAAAAAGAAAAACAGGAGTGGCTTTCAAAGCAGAAGGAGAATATACAGCATTTCCAAGCAGAAGAGGAGGCTAATCTTCTTCGACGTCAGAGACAATACCTAGAGCTGGAGTGCCGTCGTTTCAAGAGAAGAATGTTACTTGGACGCCATAACTTAGAGCAGGACCTTGTCAGGGAGGTACGTTCGAATTTGTGAAATCAGGATCTTTCCTGAAAATACATCAGTCACATCCCAGCCTCAAGGCCTTTGCACTTGTACTTCCCTCTGCCTAAATCCTTCTTCTCCTGGTATTCATGTGACTTGCTTTCTCCTTTTCTTCAAATGTCATCTCCTCAGAAATACCTTCCCTGATCACAAAATTCTTCTCTCATCTTTAAATGTTCTTCTTTGTACTTCTCTCTCTTACATACATGTAATTTTTTGAAGGAAGCCTCTCTCCCTAACTAGAATGGAAATTATATGGAGTCACAGATTTTGTTCAAGCCTTTATTTGCTTAGTGTCTGGTCGATAGTAGGCATTTAGTAAATATGAAATCCATGAATAAAAGAAGTACTAATTTTTAAATATGAGACAATTAATTGGGTAAGTATGACTTTTGATCTGCAATGGATGCTTTGAAGTGTGTTTTACTATTTAACATATTTTTCACATAAAAATTCTTAGTTTATTCATCCTCTCATGAAAAATTTGCACAATCATCACAGGTAAAGTCACTAAATAATCTTTACTTCTTCTGTTGTCCAGTCTCCAGCACCAACATTGATTGGCCTTTACAGTCCCTCTGACTTTCTTCATTCTTTCCTTGTGTTGCTTTCTCTTTTTCTCTGAGGTCTTCTTCTCATGTAGGCCACATCTTGCAAATCTGTGTCTGGGTTTATTTTTCTTTGCATAACCCCAGGAATCATCATAAATCATGCCAAAACCAAAATGGACTCTGAGTCCAAACACCAAGATGACATCTGGTGTGGTCTTACACATTTTGGATAGTTTTTCTCAAATACTGTCTTAGATGTTGTTGCCTTCTCAACATAAATGACATTAATGACCATTTGTTTCTGCTGACATAGTCTCTTGGTCATGACTTCCTGTGTTGTTATAGTGCGTGATGGCAGCCAATCTTCAAGCAGCCACCAAGGGAAAAAACTAACAGTTTATAGTCATGAAATTTTTAATTAGGCAAATGTTGGAACTTTTATACCAATGAAAACAATTATTATCTGGGATACTTGTGAGCATGGATAAATTTATTTCCAAGAGTGGCTTAAAATAAACTTCAAATATAGCATAATTGTTCACATTCACTGATAAGTAAAGAAAGGCATATTAAAACAGTGGCATCAATTAAATAAGCACAGATTAAAAGATTGGTATCAAATCTTTTTAACCAAAAATAACGTGACCCCCATGCCCCATCCTCCCTATACACCAGATATCACCCCCGAGGGACATTTTTTTGTTGTTTCCCTGGATTAAAAACGTCCTCAAGGGAAATGTTTTACTGATATGGAAGAGATGAAACAAAAAAATGGCAGAAACACTAAAAGCATCAAAATCAACAAGTTCAAAAACTGTTTTCAGCATGGAAAAAAAAGTCAATAGGTGTATTGCCTCAAATGAGTACTTTAAGGGTGACTGAAGTTTAAATATGTAAGAATAAATACACAACTTTTTAGAAATAAATTCCTGGTTTTTTTGGGTCCCCCCTCATATTTTTACCCATCAGATCCATTTCTAGAAATCTATCGTAAATAAATAATAACATGGCTATCTGATGTATCATGCATGTATTTATTGAAAATTTGTTTATAAAGAAAAAATTGAAAGATGAAATTGCAAAGCAGAAGCTTACTGTGAAACTTTGTAAAAAAAGATCAGTATGTACTGATCTGATCTGGATTTATGTCCATTTGTTAGGTGAAGAATGCACATTACATGCCTATAGTGTATATTGTTATTCCATTTTTAAAACTATGTTTTTCTATAATAGATGTGTCATGATAAGCATGGGGAAGGTTGGGAAATATTTGCAACAACTGTTGGCTTCTGGAGAAAGGGTTTACAGAGGCAAAAGCGACAAGTTTGACTTCTACATTGAGTGTGTACATGTCTATGTATTACTATGCAGCGGTTATTGAACCAGATTTTTGCATCTGTTTCCTGGTTATTCTGTTTCTAAGGATTTTTTCCTGGTATTATAGAGCAGTAAATTATACCTTTTGTTTTTGCTTTATGGATTAGGAGTTAAATAAAAGGCAGACCCAAAAGGACTTAGAGCATGCCATGCTACTGCGACAGCATGAGTCTATGCAAGAACTGGAGTTCCGCCACCTCAACACAATTCAAAAGATGCGCTGTGAGTTGATCAGATTGCAGCATCAAACGGAGCTCACTAACCAGCTGGAATATAATAAGCGAAGAGAACGAGAACTAAGGCGAAAGCATGTCATGGAGGTTCGACAGCAGCCTAAGAGCCTGAAGGTACCTTTAGCTTAAGCTTCTTGACAGGGAAAAGAGATAAAAGACATCCACGTAAACAGTAAAAGTCTAAGACAGATGTCTGTCATAAAGAAATTGAATAAACTTTTCTTCTTTTCATTTTAAGCATGTTTGGTTAGTTTTAATTTGGAGTGACTGTAGCTACAGACTTCTGCTTATATATTTCTCACCAAGTACCAAAAAATAGCCAAAACTTTTTTAACTGTGGTAAGTTCCATAAATAAGAATCAAAATTCTTATCTTAAATGTACCCAAATGTTCGATTCTGATATTACTTATCAACATGTTAGCCTGTGGGCTTCTCTCTCTCCAAGTATACAGTTTTGGAACCTTACTTGCTCTAAGTGTGACTTGTATCAAAAAACAAAAACAAAAAAGAACCTTAAGTTCCTAATCAGTACAGGTGCCAGTGAATGAGAAATACCTCTACCTTCATTGTCTATGCTCATCTGAAAAAGAATAGTGGAATTATTATAGAATTTTAAGTTTTGTACTCATATTTGCTTTGAGTAGAGGAATTCATTTGCATGGTATGAAATTTGAGATACCGAAGTGTACTGTACTATAAAGTTAGCTTCCCTTTCCCCTCTTTGTTCCTCCAGCCATCTTGTCCACCAGCCCCCTTCTCCAATATAAACCAGACTTAACCATCCCAAGAAATTTTCAAGTTTTAGAACTTGTAATAAATATTTGAAGGAGTATAGTCACATGAATCTTAATAAACTAAAACCACACACTATATAGACTAGCATCCATACTAGTACCTCAATTAATCTATACATATCTGCACACTTGAAACTTTTATTTACATCCAGTAAGGTCCAGGTCCCACAGTATTTTTTTAAAGCCCTTACCACTTTTTAAAATGATTTGGTAATTAAACTATAAAACTGTTCTTGGTCTTAACTGAATAATTAGACCAGAGTGCAATTCATTCATGGAAGTAATTTGTTTCAAAATCTTGAAGCTTTACCACACCCAGTGGTATCCCCAGTTCCCACTCGATTCCATTCAAACAAGCTGTCTTGAACAAAATATAGCAGCAGAGCTGTTTAACCCTGTCCTGTGAACCTGAGTAAAATTTCACTTTGCTGTGTCTTCAAAATAGCTAATTAACATCATTTACAATGTAGCTCATGTTGACCTTTAGTCATTGCTTAGAAAAATTAGAATTCATAATGATTTTTCAGATGTATTTTGTCTTTTTAGTGGAGAGGTATATACTTGGCTACAGATTTTTAAAACATTTCTATGAAATTAATTACGGTTTTAAAGTTAGCAGCACCCAGAAGTAAAGCAAACTGAAAGCTTATTAGTTTTTATAGTCATACCATAAATTTTATATGACAACATTTCTCTGGAATAGTTGTTCAGTATTTAGCCCTTCCCATTTCCTGTTGCTGGAGCCTTTTCAATTTGAAAGCTTGTAAACACTAGTCTGATTTTCACAGATACTATACAGAAATTGAGAAAATGTTTACATTAACAGTCAGACTTTGAATAGAATGCCTACTTCTCATGACAAATGAGCTCAAGAATTTCCATGAAGAAATCGTTTTGTTACTTTAGTAGGGAAGAAAATCACCAAGTTCCTCTTAGTTTTGTATACGTATATACTTCCTCAAAACAGACTAGATTTTAACACCAGTTATCCCATTTTTATTTGCCTAAGTATTTAGTTGTCTCTTCCAACTTTCTCCAAGACTTTTTTTTTTAAGATTTTATTTATTTTTAGAGAGCGGGGAAGGGAGGGAGAAAGAGAGGAAGAGAAACATCAACGAGGAACAGAAATATCGATCGGTTGCCTCTCACACACCTCTAGCTGGGACCCACCTGCAACCCAGGCATGTACCCTGAACTGGGAATCAGGAATCAAACCAGCAACCTTTCGGTGTGTGGGATGATGCCCAATCCACTGAGCCACACAAGTCAAGGCTCCAAGACTTAAAAGAGGGCTAGGGTAACTTCAGTTTGAACACTTATGTGAGTTGACTAGGGTTTGTTGGGGTTGGGGTACTATCTGTGGAATGGGTTGGGTAAACACCTATTGTCTTTGCTGCCGAAACACCTATTGTCTTTTCTGCCGTTTCTTCATCTGCTATCCAAATGGTGCTTTGTCAGTGTTACATGAGTAGAAACCACTATAACTTACATTCATCTTGTTTTCACTGAGTCAAACATTGAGGGATATAGTTTATTCTTATATAGGTATTACTGCTGTTGTTGAAATTGTATTTATATGAGATGTACGAGGTCTGTCAAGAAAGTATCCAGCCATGTCATATGAAAAATTAGAGACATTTATTAAAGAAGATAAAAAGATACAAGAAACATTGTATATAAAACTATGATGCCTCAGTCCCCTTCAAAGTAGGCACTTTGGGACTCCACACAGTTCTCCCAATTACCATCAGCTGTCCCGTCATATTTTCCTGAATCTCATTGATGGTCTGAAATCTCTTCCATTTCAAAGGTGGTTTTAATTTGGGGAGAAGCCAGAAGTTGTAGGGTACCAAATCTGGGCTGTAGAGGAGCTGAGTCCCCTGGGTGATTTAATGTCTTCCCACAAAAAACACTCTTCACGTCTGCACAGATGCGATGCATAAGCAGGCATGTTTTCAAGCTGCCAGTCACCAATTGCCCATCTTGGTCGTCCTCTGAATCATCCGTATAGTTTCTGCAGAGGAATGTTCAAGCTTAACACAAAATTCGATGCAGATTTGTTGCTCTACTCACCCAGTCATTTTGAATGTAATGGCCATACAGTACACTTGTCCACTCAATGGCATCTACCATCCCCACTGACTAGTACAGTGAAGTCGTCCTCGTTCACACATGTGTATGCTAGTCCACTCTCCTTGGCTGCCAGGTTACATTGATGTTGCGCAAACTGTTCTTGTTATATTAACAATGACTGGACTTTTTCTGGACAGACCTCATATGGTAGCTGAACCTATTATAATCATTTCACAATATATATAAATCAAACCATCATGCTCTATACCCTAAATTTGTACAGAGATGTATGTCAGGTTTTTTTAATTTTTTTTCAAGGTGTTATTTTTCTCCTTAGGCTAGTGATAATACAATTTCTTGGTACAATTTTTAAAAATAAAAACTTAAAAGAATGGAGTCTCCTATACATAGGAAGAAGGGAATGTCTACTTTTCATTGTTCCATTCCTGGCTAACTTGGAAGAATTTTTTTAACCAAGGACAGTATTTAAGAGCAGTGCTGTTAAACATAGCTAAACCAAGAGTTTTCTCTTTCTAGCTAGACATTTTTTTACACTTGACAGAATAAAGGTATATGAGTATGACCTAGTGCCCAAGTTGGAGTAAAATATGGAAAGTTTATATTTAATGTTGTACTATGGGGGAAGGGCAAAAACTACTTCCTTGACAAAGATATTACTTTGATCATGTATGCATTTTTGGCATACTGTATCAAACAATTAATATATGACAGTATTTATATTAAGGTAAAATAACTTCATCTGTAGGTTTTGCCTTACTGTAGTAAATGAATATTTTCTCACTTGTGGGCTTGATCAGTATACCTTATAGAAATATATTTCATCATATTAAGCTTTGTTAAAACCTGAGTTCATAGAGTGTCTAACCTGTGATTAACCAAAAACTAAAGGCAAGACTCCTACATTTCTGACCTCAGATTATTTTATCTCAGAAATGTTTGTGTAGTTCATGTTTATCATCACCCTAAGAACACTTGTCCCCTCCTTTGCCCCATAATTTTTGTTTAACCTTTAAAAGATTAGCCAACTCAACTGACTTTCAAGTTTTTGCTTGTGGTGTTAAAGAGTAAACTATTATATAGTGTGTATCTACCTAGTTTGTTCCCTTAAGGAAAAGACCAGTTATAATAACAGTATTAGTTACTAATAATACCCTATTTTTATGGAGTCTGTAATAGACTATGTAATGGGAGTTGAGATTGTCATTAAAAGAAATTGAAGCAAATTATCTCAGATAAGAACAGAGTAAATAATGCTTACATTGTACCCTTGAAATCTAATAAAATATTGTCTGAGCTTTTATATCTACCACACTTATTGCATGAGAAGAAATTTTAATTTTCTGTCATCAGTATACATAGTAATCAAAACTAATTTTAATGTTCACTTCAGTTGCTAAACTTACTAGCAAGGCAGTAAGTAGTATTGCTTGAAGTCCTGTGATAAATGAGGTTGTTGGTATTCTAATGATTTAAATTAGAGTTTTTATGATTAAAATGTTTAAAATTCAGTGATTTGACCCATTAGCCAACTGCAAAAGTACCCGCAACCTGATGGTCTCACCTTTTTGTTTTTTCCTCTCCCTTTCTCCTAGTAGCCTTTGTTTTCATGTAAACATAAAGTATTCCAAATGCCAGGTATTAAAAATTATATACATTTATTTTTTCTTTTCCAGTCTAAAGAACTTCAAATAAAAAAGCAGTTTCAGGACACCTGCAAAATCCAAACCAGACAGTACAAAGCACTGAGAAATCACCTACTGGAGACTACACCAAAGAGTGAGCACAAAGCTGTTCTGAAACGGCTCAAGGAAGAGCAAACGCGGAAGTTAGCCATCTTGGCTGAGCAGTATGACCACAGCATTAATGAAATGCTGTCCACACAAGCCGTGAGTTTGTTTTATTTAGGCAAAACAATTTAGTATCCCCATCCTTCTACCACTTGAATAAAATCCCAGCAATTAAAATATTAGTTGGAAGCGATAGCTCTCCTGCAGCTTGGAAAATAGTGGTGGTGGTCCATATTCTTCTGACTTTCAGCATTACTTGGAAGCAGGCATGATGTATAAAGAATTCTCACTGGTCCATTTAGACATAAAGTTCTAAATAGGCTCTTTGCCTGTACTTATGAGGCATTTAGTACATATCCCAAAAGCTTATCAAGATTAGAGCAGCATCTTTGTTAAGGAGTGGGCAAAAAGTAGTACTATATCGGGAATAAAAATGGTCTCATTTGAGTGTTAATATAAAATATTTTCTATATAATTTTTGTAAACTTTCTTAAAAGGGCCAGATAGTAGATATTTTAGGCTTTGTGGGCCAGGAGGCAGAGTTGAGGATATTATATGAGTGCTTAAGTATATAGCCATTTAAAATGTAACCATTTCAAATTATAAAGACCATTCTTAACTAATAGTCTACTTAAACTCTCTCTCTCTCTCTCTCGCTCTCTCTCTCTCTCTCACACTGGCTATAGTTGGCTTCTCCCTGTTCTGTAGTTATTTCCATTTGAGAGAAGAAATTAAAAGTCTTTTTATTAAAAAAAATTTTTCTTGATCTGAGAAAGAGAGGGACAGAGACAGACATCGACTTGTATTTCCACTTATTGATGCATTTGTTGGTTGATTCTTGAATGTGCCCTGACCAGGAGGTCTAACCCTTAGCTTTACATATTGGCACAACGCTCTCACCAACTGAACTACCTGACCAGGACAAGAAATTCAGAGTCTTACATCATTTAATCAAGAGTCTAAATTTTTCTTAAGAAAAATAGTTATTTTTGAAAAGTTTATGATAGCTTTATCTTCATATGCCACCATTGGTTACTGTGCCTTCCTTTTTCAGAGATGTTTAAGATAGAAGAGAGAACAATTATGTATCCTACAAAAGAGTAGTATGTCTTCTTTCACACTTCTTCTTTCCAGAAGTCATGAATAGATAGCTCATAATATCTGGTTCACAATAGGATATATCTGTTTTCTTTTTCCCTTTCAGCTACGTTTGGATGAAGCACAGGAAGCAGAGTGCCAGGTTTTGAAGATGCAGCTACAGCAGGAACTGGAGCTACTGAATGCCTATCAGAGCAAAATCAAGATGCAAGCTGAGGCACAACATGATCGAGAGCTTCGGGAGCTTGAACAGAGAGTCTCCCTCCGCAGGGCACTCTTAGAACAAAAGGTATAAGTAATAGAAGGAAGGTAATTGTGCTAGTATTTGCTTTCTTCTGAAGCATTTTATAAATATATTAGATTGTTTTTACAACATCATATTTCCTTAATTTCTAGTTTGGTAGTTTTTTTCTTTTTTAGAAAAAATTATTGATTCAGTAATGAACCTTACAAATAATGAGTTCTAAACATTAAGGGACTATAATTAAGTAGCAATTTCTAGAGGAACGATAATAGGTTATGTGGAGACAGTTGAATTCTGAGAAAGTAGCTCTGGCTCCATGTTATCACTTCTTTTATGTACCTAGCTCTCCCTAAGGAGATTGGAGAAAAACTTGGAGAGTGAAGAAAAATAATTTTAGCAATTGCATGGAAGAGGCAGGGTCAAAGGATCAAGAATATATATGTACTTTACTCATACATCCTGGGCCTGGAACTATACAGATTGGTGGAAGATTACTAGAGGACAGAAGATAAAATCAGTTCCACACTGGTGAAAAGTCAGGCCTGAAAAATGTTAGTTCCAGAGGTACCTTTATTTATTTTTTTAACTTACTCTTTGTCAGATATATTAGAGAGTAGAACTAGAATCACAAAATTCATTTCTATCCTTTAAGGAGCGTGTGTGCGTGCGTGCATGCATGCGTGTGTGGCAGGGGGGGATTCATTTCTATCCTTTAAGGAACGTGTGTGTGTATGTGTGTGTTGGGTAAAAGGCGATGAGCAGAAGATTTTGAGTGATAAAAACGGAAAGGTATTTGTTATGGGAAGTAGTAGAATATCAGTTGTATCCATGATTCAGAGGTATGTTCCAGAATTCCTGAGCCATAAGTTCCCAATAGCTGATACAGTCTTAGGTCTCTTGGTCCATTAAGTTAATGGTCTTGCCTATTAAAAGTTGTCAGTGGTTATCAGCTCAGATTTTCCTCTATTTCCTGCAATTCTTATGATAAGAATATATTCTTAAGAAAGCCCACCTAAGTAAGATGTTACTATTTCTCTGGCATAGCTGTCTTTATTATTGACTTCTTGAGAGGTACTTGCCGCTAAAAATTATCTCAATTAATGTTTCTCATTCAAGATGGAAAGATAACATAAATTTTGAGAAAAATCTAATTTGTCTAATGTACAGATTTCATAAATCTAATTCCAACTTTAATATTTAAAATTCAATCCAAAGTTCTGTTTCTTATGCTTCAAAATTATCAGTAAAAGAAAAACTCCCCTATAGTATTTGAGGAATAGTGTTGTGGAAATATCAGTACTATTAAAGTATATTTGTATTTTTAGCTCCACCTAGTGGTTCAGAGTTAAACAGTGATAATAAATCATTTCAATACATGAAGCAAAACCTACATGTTCTACAAAGCTTAGTAAAATACGAGTATAAAACTGGTAACACAGAGCTCACGGTAATGTGACACTCTCATGCATTGTTAGTGCATTTTGGAAAGCAATTTGAAAGTATATATTGAGCTTTGGAAATGTTAAGTATTTATCACTTTGAGAATTCCAAGGAAAAGAAATCCAAAATATAGGGAAAATACATGTATAAATATGGTGATTATAGCATATGGAGTTTTATAATGGTTTAAAACACCTAACTCTCTAAAGTAAAGATATAAGGAGCATTGAAGATCTTGCTCCCCAGCATATGTTGTCAGTTTTGGCTCAATAAAGTCTTATAAAATTTAGAAATAAATACATAAAGTAGAGATATAATTAAGTAATTATGGCCAAGCCACTTAATAGAATCTTATTAGACATTTAAATGATGGGTACAAAGACAGTATTAATATGAATGTGTTTAATACAATAACATTATGACATTGAATAAAATTACAAAGACAAAGTGAATTAAAGTAATGCTAGTAGTGGCTATATTAGTATGGTAGATTGGTTTGGTTTTCTATTTTACTGTTTCATATGTGGTTGGTTAATATTACTTTGATAATGAAAAATACTAAAGATTAGTATTAAAAATAACAAGAAAAGTAGGATAATAAATGTACAGTGCTTTGAGTTACCACTTGAGTTTTAGAGCTAATGTTTACATTCATTTAGAATGCATGACTTTGAAGCACTTTGGGGTCAATTGGCAACTACTAAAGCCATGTACCCTCTCTATAAAAACTTTGAAAGATCGTAACAGCATGTATTTTCTGTACTTCGTGCTTACTGGTTGTATAGATAAGGAAGTTATTTGAAAATAAATTGAGGTGGAACCAAAGTGAATGCTAATTGTTTCTAGATGAAAAATAGCTCATATCCAGATGAACCAAAAATTGTTACCTTTGGTTGAAACACCAAGAAAGTAAACCTCATTTGATCCACATGAGGCCTTATTATAAATTGTCTTATACTTGATTTACATTAAAATTTCAGCAAGATGACAGCATAACTATAAATGTTAAATTCCATGTGAATTTTATATATAACATAAAAAGTGGCAGTGTTTCCAAAGTATAAATAGACTTTTTTGTTGTATCATTTCATTTAATTTTCTCTCAATATTAGTTTTAGTATCAACAACATGATTGGTAGTTTGAAAGTAAGAATTGACCATTGGAACATGTTATGTACTTTTGTGAAACTGAAAATATTCACACAAAAATGTAACGTTTAGTTTCAAAAAGTTTGAGAGAGCTTCTCAGACATCTTGATTATGATAAGTCATCTACCTAGTGAAGCTACATTTTTAATTTGCAGTTAATGCAAGCTATCATAAACCTTGGTTTTTATTTTTAATTGAAAATTGTTCTGAGTTTCTTAAAGGAACTAATTAGCAAACAAGATGGAAATGATGACTACTGGATAAAATTTAACAAGTATTAATGAGTTTAACATTTTTATCATCAGTTTTCTTCAAATAATATGCAAGGCATTAAAATCAGTTACATACATGATTAGTACATTCCCATCATTTATAAAATCTCTCAAGTTAAAATAAATGCTTTTAGTGAATGGATTTTTGAAAGTTTTACATATAAACTATTTTTTAATATATTTTTATGAATTATTTTGAAATTTTATGAAATTCAAAAATATTTTATGAATTTTTTTAAGGGGGGGGAGGGAGAAAGGGAGAGAAACATTAATCAGTTGCCTTTTGCATTCCCCCAACTGGGGACCTGGCCCCCAGCCCAGGCATGTGCCCTGACCAGAAATTGAACCAGCAACCTTTTGGTCTGCAAGTCAGCATTCAAGCCACTGAGCCACGAGGGCTTAATACTTTATTGATTGTGCTGCTACAGTTGTCTCAATTTTTCCCCTTTTGCCACCCCCACCCAGCACCCCGCACTCCCTTCAGGCTATCCTCCTACATTAGTTCACATCCATGGGTCATGCATATAAGTTCTTTGGCTACTCCATTTCCTATACTGTACTTTACATCCCCGTGGCTATTCTGTAACTACCTGTTTGTACTTCTTAATTCCCTCACCTCTTCACCCATTCCCCCACACCATTTTTGCCATTTTATTGTTCATAGTTTTGATCTTCTTTTGCTTAAATAAGTCCCTTTAACATTTCATATAATAATGATTTGTTGATGAATTCCTTTAGTTTTTTTCTTGTCTGGGAAGCACTTTATCTGCCCTTAAATTCTAAATGATAGCGCAACTATTTAGATCTTGGCTATAGATTCCTGGTTTTCATGACTTTGGATATTTCTTGCCAGCCCTTCTAGCCTGCAGAGAAATTGGCTGGCAGCTTTATGGGAACTCCCCTGTAGGTAATTAACTGCTTTTCTCTTGCTGCTTTTAAGATTCTCTCTTTATTTTTAACCTTTGGCTTTTTTTAATCATGAGCCTCTTTGTGTCCATCTTGTTCAGGACTGTGCTTCCTGGACTTGCATGTCTATTTCCTTCACCAAATTAGGGAAGTTTTCTTTCATTATTTTTTCAAGTAGGTTTCCAGTTTCTTGCTCTTGCTCTTCTCCTTCTGGCATCCCTATGATGGGAATGTTGGTATGCTTGTAGTTGTCCCAGAGACTACTTACGCTAACCTCTTTTTTTTAATATTCTTCCTCTGCTTGGTTGTTTTTTGTTTCCTTTTGTTCCACATCATTGGTTTAATTCTTGGCTTCATCCACTCTACTGTTGATTCCTTATAAATTGTTCATCTCCATTAGTGTATCCTTTATTTCTGTCTGGCTTATTTTATGCTGCTGAGGTCCTCACTAAGTACCTTGAGCATCCTTATAACCAGTGTTTTGAACTCCGCACCTGACAGATTGTTCATCTCTGTTTTGTTTAGTTCTTTTTCTGGAGTTTTGATCTCTTCTTTCATTTGAGCCATGTTTTTTTGTCTCCTCATTTTGGCAGCCTCTCTGTTTGTTTCTGGGTATTGGGTAGAACTACTATGACTCCATGTCTTGGTAGCATGGCCTCTAGGATTCTGTGGCACAGCCTTCCCTATCACCTGAACTTGAGTACTCAAGGTGTGCCCTCCATGTGGGCTGAGTACACCCTTCTCTTGTAGTTGAGCCTTGATTGTTGTTGGCAGGCTTATGGGAAAGATTTACCCAGTCCAGTCAGTTCCAAGGAGTGGCTGTGACCACTGACCACCAACCTCCACTCTCCATGGAGGATCAGTTGTGCTGGGGTAGAATGACAGTGCTCCAATGTGGTTTGTAGCTGTCTACTGAGTGCACAGGCTCTAGGGTTTCCCAGTGGTGCAGGTCACAGTCAGCCCCTGCCTATGTTCTATAAGGGCAACACAGTGTGAGCTACAAAGCAATCTGCAGATGGCTGCAACTTGTGCAAGGCTTGGAGGTTCCCAGGCAGAGCCAAACTGTGATCCAAAGCTGGCTGCTGCTAGTGCCAAGCCTGGAGCTGCTGCATAGCCAGATGTAGGAAGGCTGGGGGACAGGCTATAAGTTGGGTCGGGCCGAGCCTCAGGTAAATGCCCAGGGCAGGGCAAACAGTGTAACCCAGGCTGATGGAGTCTCAGATGAGGATCCTGTCTGCCTTTTCTGTGGCTCTGTGGGGAAAGGGCTCAGAAAAGGCA